TGTCTCCACTGGGATATCTCCTGTATCGTCCCAGTTGGGTAGCTGTACTCTCCGTCCATTGTTGTAGATACTTGCGGTGCGATTCACCCAGTTAATCTCGGGGTTGAATCTTTTAGGAAGTCTCGCCCAAAGATCAAGTCAAGCCCTTTGATGTTGGTGATGGGGAGTGCAGGTCTCCAGCGCAGTGGTCCGATTTGTAGGTGTAGCACTGCTTCGCCGTGTACTGGTAATTTGCTGCCGTCCACCATCGTTGCAGAGAATCTTGAAGGCTTGTACTCTTCCCGAAGTTGGTCGATTACTGCCTTGTCGCAAACGGTGTGTGATGCTCCGCTGTCCACAAGTGCTTGGAGGCGTCGTCCTTTGCAGATGACCTCGAGCACGAGGGGCAGGCGTTGCTCGGTGTACCCAAAGATAGTTTCATTGATTGGGTCATAGGGTACATCCCAATATTCCGTACACACCTTTGTGTTGCTATCTACTCCTGAGCTGGCAGCTGGCCAAGGCTGCTTGGAGAACGGCTCTTCTCCAGGGCCCGGAGTTTCCTTGACGACTGTGCTCGTCACTGATGCCGAAGAACTGGATGCATCTGGAGGAGGAGTTTGGGGTTTGTGCAGCTTCTTATAGACCCCCAGCTTCCTCTTGAGCTCCTTCAGCTCCACCGACATCTTCCCTGGGGAACGGGTAGTCGTTGTGGGCTGGTGTCGGGAGAGGACGTTGACTCCGTGGAAAGGTCGGCTTCTTTCCACACTCCTTAATTTTTTCCCCAAGTTGTCCGGTACCGGTATAATCTCCACAGCTGTCTGCTTCTTTTAGAGTCCTTCCCGAATTTTCTCCAAGGCTCTAGCCCCTCGAACATCATAATTTTTCATTAAAGCATCTTTATAAGATAACTTTAACGAATTCTTATAATTTCTTGGGTCTTGAAGGAGTTTCCCCGTCTCGGCAGAGTCTGTTTTCGCGGAGTCGTATTTTTCCTCGGCGATTTTCCCTGGCGAAGACTGGTTGTGGGGTGGAGATTTTCCCCCATCATTTCCTCCTTCTCGCGTCGAATCAGCTTCGTCGAAGTTGATTTTCCCGGAATCCCGTGGCCGCTTCCGGAACTTTTTATTTTCGCCAGCTAGATCCGCAATCACTGGCGAGTCCCGTTTTTTGGCTTCTGATTGGCTGAAGAAATTCCGCCACTGTTGCGTGCCCGATACTCTGCGCATGCGGCTTTCATTTTGGTGCAGTCGAAGATTCGATGTCTCGGCACCCCGCAAAAATCACACGTGTAATTGGTGTTTTTCAGACGTGGCCGCCCTTCGAATCTATCGACTTCCATCGGGTCGGCGAACGTGGGGTGAGCCGAGCGGTCGCCCTGTCGTGTACTGCCGACGTGCGTCCGTCGTGTTCCGGCGTTCACCATGTCGAAGCGCTCCGCTGCAGAAACGACGTCACTGTAGCTCGCGTAGTTTGACGCTGCTACCTGGCGTTTGACTTCGGTCTTCAGCCCGGCGAGGTACGATTGTACTTTTTCCCCTTCGGTCAGGTCGGGAATGCGGTTATAAAATTCATCCATCATTTGCGTGTACTGCGCTACACTCCCGAACTGTCGGTGTCGATGAATTTTTTCCCGGGCAAGGAAACTGGAATTTATCGGCTCGAAGCGTTTCAGCAGGTCGGCGCGGAACTGCTGCCACGTGGCTTCACCATGGATGAAGGTACTGTTGCCGCCAATCCACTCGAGTGCCAGCCCTCGCATCAGTGTCACCGCGAGTCGTACACGTTGACCGTCCCAGACTGGCGAGCTCCATCCGACGGCTGCGAAGTAGATCTCCATCCCGGCGATCCATCTGCGGGCGTCGGGGTTTCGATCGCTTGGATCGAACGGCTCAGGTGGGCGCGGTTTCGGAGCCTCGAGAAACTGCTGCGACTGCTGCGTTGTTGCCGTTGTCGTTTCGTGCTGCGCTCCGGCGAGTCGAGTTACTCGCTCGAACTGGTTTCGCCACGCTTCGCGATCCGCTCGCATTTCCTCCTGAAGGGCTGCGATGCACGCGAAGAGCTGCTGGGTAACCTCGGCGTTGTCGAAGGTTACCATCCTGTTCAAAAACACGCACGGAGGGGGTAATTCGAAAATCGCGGAGCTGGTGCTTACCAGAATCGGCGTCGAATTGGTCGCCCCCGGCGGTTTTTTCGAGGCAGGTTTTCCCGCTGCTGCTGCTTTGTTGAGCGCGGCCGAGTGAGAAAAGCTCTGATTACCAAGTGTCACAGGATCGAATGACTCGAGGAAAGGTTGCACTATCGATCAGTACAAGGCGCTTTTATACTTCCAGAGTACATTAGGTAACCAGGTTTATCTTATCCTAAGGGAATAGACCCTTCTAGAAGATAGAATCACCCTGCGTATAGCCACGCGAGGCTATTGGCTTTAAGGGATTACGGCAGGATTACGGCAGATATAGCGCCCAGTACATCCCAAGCCTCGTCGGTGATATAACTATAATAGCAGGATAAACCAAAGGTTAACGGAAAAATGGAGAATAGGAAACGAAATGAGATGAGAAATGAAAAGAGGAAGGAAGTAGAAAAAAGGCCAAGTGGTGTAACGGGATCGTACTCTCACACCACGCGTCTCGTCCTCCCCTTCTCCCGTCCCCTCCTCCGTCTTCCCTTGTCGTTGCTCCCCCCCCTCTGTCTGACTACCTTCGTGCCGCCTGTCCTCTCGTTCCTCGGGTCCTTGCCTCTCTTGTTACCGACCCATCAGTTTCGGTCTCGTGTCTTGACGCTCTTGTCGCTGCGGTCGCTGACTTCGCCTCTACCCGCCGCCTTGACTACGCCACCGCCCTGGTCTCTGACCCTGCCTGTCCTCCGTCTGTCAGGGGTGCTCCTGCCCTCGGCAGTGACGTCCTGGAGGACCGCCAGTTCGAGCTTGCTTTCCTGTCCGAGGCTGCTCCCCATCTCTGTTCCATGCTGCTAGTCCCTGAGGGTGACCCAGACGCTTTCGACATCCCGACCCCTCGCACTTACGCTGAGGCGACCTCGGGACCCTGGGCCTCTCAGTGGATAGCTGCCATGGAGCAGGAGATGGCATCTTGGAGATCCACCGGCACTTTCGTCGACGCAGTTCCCCCACCTGGGGTGAACGTAGTCGATGGCCGCTGGCTCTTCAAGGTGAAGCGCCCTCTTGGAGAGCCGCCTGTGTTCAAGGCGCGCTACGTGGCTAGAGGCTTCAGTCAGCGTGAGGGGGTGGACTTCTTCCAGACCTTCGCTCCGACCCCGAAGATGACTACTCTTCGGGTTCTGCTACACATAGCAGCTCAGCGTGACTACGAGCTTCACTCCCTCGACTTCTCCACTGCCTTCCTTCAGGGCAGCCTGCACGAGCAGGTCTACCTGCGCCGCCCTCAGGGCTTCACTGGCACCTTCCCTCCTGGGACCCAGTGGCTCCTGCGGCGTCCCGTCTACGGCCTACGGCAGGCTCCCCGTGAGTGGCACGACACGCTGCGTGCTACCCTTGCTGACCTTCAGTTCTTTCCGTCCTCGGCAGACCCCTCACTCTTCGTTCGTGCTGGCCAGACTCCGTTCTACATCCTTGTGTACGTGGACGATCTGGTCTTTGCCACAGCAGACACGGACGCACTGGCCTCCGTGAAGGCAGAGCTGCTGAAGAGACACACCTGCACTGACCTTGGAGAACTGCGCCGTTACCTTGGCGTGCTGATCTCCAGGGACAGAGCAGCGCGCACCATTACCCTGACTCAGTCACACTTGGTGCGCCAGGTCCTTCAGAGGTTCGGCCTTCAGTTCTCCTTTGCACAACCCACCCCTCTGCCTCTAGCCCACAGACTCTCCGCTCCAGTTCCTGAGGAGTCAGTAGAGCCCAGTGGTCCTTACGCAGAGCTGGTGGGTTGCCTCATGTACCTGATGACTTGCACTCACCCTGATCTCGCATACCCTCTCAGCATCCTGGCTCGCTTTGTGGCCACTGGCAGACACCGACCGCAGCACTGGTCTGCCGCTAAGAGGGTTTTGCGTTATCTTGCAAGTACATTGGGCATGGGGTTAGTGCTAGGAGGACGCAGGCCAGTGGTCCTTACTGGACACAAACGCTTCGTGGGCGGACGACGCTGAGACACTCAGGTCTTCCCAGGGCTACTGCTTCAGCCTTGGTTCAGGTGCCGTCTCGTGGAGAGCTACCCGCTCGTCGTCTGTTGCCCAGTCCAGCTATGAGGCCGAGATCTACGCTGGTGCCATGGCGGCACAGGAGCTCCGCTGGCTGGCTTTCTTACTCACTGACTTAGGTGAGCAGCCTAGCTCTGCCCCGGCCCTGTACGCTGACAATAGGGCCATGATCGTCCTGTGTCAGGAGCCTCGACTCGAGGGCAGAGCGAAGCATATACAGCTGCGGTACTTCCTCCTGCGCGAGTTACAGCAGCGCCGCCAGGCTCACGTAGTACACCTGGCCTGTGGTGCCAACACAGCTGATATCTTTACGAAGGCGCTTGCGCCTAAAGATCATCAGCGGCACTGTGTACAGCTCGGTCTAGTTCCTGTAGCCCCTCACTTGCTAGGACCTTGACTTTGTACTGCCCTATATATTTCTATATGTACTCAGACTGGACTTGTGTCCTCTACCAGTGGTTGGAGTAGTAGTGCCGCCCTGGCCTTGTTCTTGCCTTGCCTGTACTCCTTCTGACTGGTCTTTAGACCCTTGCCTCAGTGGCTGGACTAGTAGTGCCGCCCTGAGCTGCTTGTTCAGGACCTGCCCCTATGCAGTCTAGGGGGTGTGTCAAACATGTGTACCTCTTATACTTTGCATAGACTGTATAGGGTCATCTCTTAGAGGGTACAATGCTTAGATATATCCCTGTACTCTCTCTCACTCTATTTTTTCTTTCTGTTTCTAAGAAGGGTCTGTATGCGCTGTGCTCTGGAAACTCAGTACTAGGTTAGTGACAACTCTGATTTTCTCAGGAACCCTAGAATCATACTCTGAAGGGATCAGGATTGGGAAAATGGGTTATCTGGAAATTCAGGTTTGGCCAAAAAAAGGGTCTGAAATTTCAGACTAATCAGACTAAATAGTCTGATAAAATTAGCCCTGGGTGACTTTATGACTCTGAGGGCTGTAAATCCAGGCTAATCAATCAACATCCAAAAAGCAGAGCACAAACATGACCCCCGAAGAATCCACCACATTAGAATCCAGATTCCAGACACAGCAAGCACAACCAACCAGCACAAGAATCCACTCTCTCATCTCATACATCATCTCCTCTTGTGTCCATGCCTGCAGTACCTCCCTGCTCTCCCCCCACGTCCACCACAGCATGCTCCCTCTCCTCCCTGCTCTCCCCCACCTGCTGCGCCCCTCTGCTCTGCGCCGCGAGCGCCTCCAACTCCTGCACCACTTGGCCCATGGTGGGCCGCTGGGTCGGGACTATGGCAGTGCAGGCCAGAGCGAGCAGCACGAGCTGCTGGGCCGTATCCATGGGCATGTCCAGGGATGCGTCGCACACCTCCATCAGCGCGTTGCTGTCCACCTTCTGGGATGCCTGAGGGGTGTGTGGTGGGGGAGAAGGAGGGCAGGGGGGGGGAGATAGAAGGTGGGCAAAGGAGGTGGTGAGTGCGCATGGAGGTTGGCCGCGGCTGGTGCTTGTGCCTACGGTGCATCTGTGGTGGCGCAAGGAACAAGGAAGCACTAATTAGACTATGAGTAGACAATGGACGGACGTGGTGCCAGTTGATTGAGCCACAAGCCTACAAGCTGCAGGCCTGATCCACAAGTATCAGTTGTGCGTCACAGGCCTGCAAGTTGCTTTGCAGCAGCAGTAAGGCAGCAGCAGCAAGGCCGCAGCACCACTACCATCCACCACTCACCCACTGAGCGATGGGTATGGCCCTGTCCTCCACACGAACAAAGCACTTGTGCCCTGACACCACCTCCAGCATCACCACACCAAAACTGCACACGGCACCGACCACAGTTGCAGCACTCAGCACCCACAAGAAGGGTGAGAAACAAGGCAGATTCGAGGGAGGACATGGGCACAGGTGCAGTCAGCCCTTTTTTTTAGAATGCTAAAAGATGACTCCATGATTCTCAGTTGCAGCACCCAGCACCCGCAAGGAGCGCGAGAAACAGCGCCCATTCGAGGGAGCACATGGGCACAGGTGCAGTCAGTCAAAGGAAGCGGACGCAACGGGGGAGCGGACAGGCCGGGAAGACAGAAATGGAACCGCCTAAATAGAATGTGACGGAGGTTGGGATTGGTTGAGGACACACGGCTTGCTGCGATTTGAATCCTTGCAACTCTCTGCAAGACAGAAACGGAAACACCTAAATAGAATATGAAGGAGGATCAGGAGTACATGAATGTGACTCGCGGGTTTGCGCACCTGTACACGTCAGCAGAGGTTGTGGCAGTGAGTGACTTGGCATAGGCAGGGTCCAGGTACCCCGGCGACCCCACTGCCCTGTCCCTGTCCACGCTGCCCTGCTCCGTTGACTTGAGGAACCCATAGTCCACTACCTTGGCCTGTAAGAAATGCGGGGCGGGGAGGGGAGGGCCGGGGGGGGGGGGGAGGGAGGGATGAAGTTCGCACCAAGCAGGGTGATTGGTTGGGATCAGAGCGTATAAGATGAGAGGTGCTGCATGAGTGAGAGGGTATGCAAAAGTCGTGAGAACCAGAATCAGGGGAGAGGCTGACGAGAAGGGTAGGGTCTATTTTTTAGGCGCCTCAAGGGTAGAGCGTCAACACTTGCAGGTTAAGCCGGTTAAGGTGCTTTTTCATTAGCAAGGGCAGAGCAGATCGTGTGACACGCAGGCGGGGTGGTCAGGCAGAGGAAAGTAGCGCATACAGGCATGCAGGAGAAAGTTGGGTGGCGGAATGCAGCGTGTGGAAGAGCAAGGGGGCGGAGGAGCATGGCCTGGCTGACCTGCAGGCGGTCGTCCAGCAGGATGTTGGACGGCTTCACATCGCGGTGCACGATGCCCCTCGCATGCAGATACTCCAGCCCCCTCGCCGCCCCCACCAGAATGTCCATCCGCTCACCCAGGCTCAGGGGCGCATGGTCCTCATTGGTGCCTGCAGGCGGAAGAGAGAGGAGAGAGAGGGAGGGTGCAGTGCTTTATGGTGGGGGATGGTTTTTTGCCGGGTCATAAAATGGGGGTGACGGATGTGGGAAGGGGGAGCAACAACCACAGCAACAGCAGCCTTTTCACACCAAATCCACCTGGCTGAGGCGTTTCTCTTCTGCTCTCACCCCACCTGGACCGAGGCGTTTTCCTTCTGTCCCCGTGTGCCAACTGACCCACCACACCTGGCCTGAGGCGTTTCTCTCGGGCCCCCATGTGCCCTCCCTCTCACCTGGGCGGAGGCGTTTCTCGAGGTCGCCGTGGGGCATGAAGGGGTAGACGGTGATCTGCTCCATCTGCAGCGCGCTGGGCGTCATCTCCATGCAGAACCCCACTAGCGCCACCACGTGCGCATGCCGCACGGCCCCCATGCGCTCCACCTGCCATCAACCGTGCCACGCCGTGCCGGGCCATGCCGTGCGACGCCAAACAGACAGGGAGGAGGGTGAGACAAGAGGTCACATATAATTGGCTCTTTAGTACTGGCAGAGCAGGGACATTGGATAGCACAACGAGAAGGCTACAGGGAGCAAGACGTAAAACACAGACAAAAGGTTGAGATTTTACGTCGAACGAGCCTCGTGTCCTCGTACTGTTTGTCTGAAGGTATCGGTGAATGCGCAGGAGCGGAGGCTGAATGAATGCCACATCCAAAGAGAAAAACGGAGACAAGAGTGGTCAGACGAAGGGTCACGAGCTGCATACCGTCGGCCTGAAGGTGTTGGTGAGCACGCGGGCACGGCAAACAGCCCAGGGCACGGCCGGGTTGGAGGGGTCGAAGCCACGGTACACGTCGAAGGAGCCCCGTGTCACCACACGCCCCTCCCTCGCCCAGTTGCCTGTGGATGTCTTCACCTCGCCAATCGTCAGCTCCCGTATCGACCGCACGGGTGATGCCCCTGCTGTGGCTGCTGCTGCTGCTGCCGATGCTGCTGCTGCTGCAGCTGCTGCTGCTGCTGCTGCTGCTGATCCTCCTGAGGTTACTGGCGATATTGCCGCTGCTGCTGCTGCTTGTAGAAAGGAGGGGCGGGATGGTGTAGGGGAGAAAAAGGAGAAGGAGAGGGGATTGGAGCCTTGAGGTACATGCCAATTGAGAGTGGTTTTGCTTACGAGCTCCCAGGACTACTTAAGTGAAGGAGAAAAGGTGGTATTGTGTGGTGGGTGGAGTGGATGCGACGCAGAGTGGAGGACAGGCGGCATTGTGTGGGTGGAGTGGAGTGGAGGGCAGGGCAGGGAGGTTGATGAAGAAGCGAGGCGGATTAGAGCCATCATGCAAACGTACATGCACTAGTGTAAGCAGGGCAGCCAAATAGCACTCAAAGCAGTCGCAACACACCCACAATACACAACATTGCTCACACGTAGTGGGAAGAGCACAAACACACTGTGTCCCTCCCTCCCTCCCTCCCAGTCCCACTCCACGGCCCCGATCACACACATACCAGACGGCGGGTGCTGCTTCGCGGCCTCCTTCTTCTTCCTCCTGGACACCAGCAGCAGCACCAGCAGAACTACAGCCGCCACCAAACACGCACACGCAGCCGCTAGCCCCGCTATCGCACCCGCCGACAACCCACTGCTGCCACTGCCGCCACTGCTGGCACTACCGCCGCTGGTGCCACTGCTGTCAAGTGCTCCAGAGGAAGAAAGAGGCGGGCCAGCAGGGTCTGATGTGGAGCTGGAGCCAGGGGGTGGGGTAGGCGATGGTGGAGGGAGGCTAGGGGTGGTGGGCGGCCCTTGTGAGCCCGATCCGTCGCTGTCGCCACCGCCGTTGCCTGGCACTGTGGGAGGGGGAGGGGGAGAAGAGGAGCTGGGGGGCGCTGGCGGCGTGGGGGAGGGAGGTGGGGGCGTTGTTGATGGTGGGGGAGGGTTGCTGGGCGGTGACGTGGAGGGAGGGGGGCTGGTGGACGGAGGGCCGGGGGGATTTGGGAATGCACGATCTGCATTGGGCGGGGAGAGCAAGAGGGGAAGGCAGATGAGAGGGGGGTGGAGGGTGGGGGAGGGAGGGTGCTGGGATGGGACGGAGGGGAGGGGAGGGTGAGGTGCCTCCCCTCCCAGTGTGCACATGTTGTGGTTTCACACTGAAGGAGAGGAAAGCGTGAGGGGGAGTGAAAGACACATGAAGGAGAGGTGGGTGCGGTGGGTGCACAGCGCACTAGCAATGCACGTGGCACTATGCAGCGCGGTGTGTCATGTGCGGTGCGGTGCGGTGTGTCATGTGCGGTGCGGTGCGGTGTGTCATGTGCGGTGCAGTGCGGTGTGTCATGTGCGGTGCGGTGCAGTGTGTCATGTGCGGTGCGGTGCGGTGTGTCGTGTGCGGTGCGGTGCGGTGTGTCATGTGCGGTGCGGTGCGGTACAGGCACGAACCAATCAAGCACAGGCCGCAGAAGAAGGGGCATTTCGGAAGCATGTCTGCCTGGCACTGGACAGAGCAGCCGGTGAAGAAGTCAGGGCAATCCATGTCCTGCGCCCTGCACACCACACCACACCACACCATGCATTTGCAGAGTAACCACGCGTTTGAAATGAGGAAAGGGGGTAGGAGGTTCGTTTGTAGACCTTGAGACGGCAAGGAGCTCATACCTACCAGCGGGCGTACGGGTCAGGATAGGATGGAACCGATGCTAACGCTGTTAAAAGGATTGGACGGAGTCAATGGGGATGAGACAGTGCGGAACTGGATAAAGCGGGGCAGCATGGGATGGCATGGATGGAGGTGTGATGCGATGGAGCAGCGTCAGCAGCAGCAGGCGAGCACGACACAGGTGGCATATGTCTGGAGCGCGCTTGCAAGCTCACAGGTGGAGTTCAGTGAGTGCTGTCATGCGGGAGACACCAGGTAATGACCCGGTCAGCTGTGTTTTCGCCAGACCCCTGCACACATACCATGTGGGAAGGAGGGGGGGGGGAGGGGGGGGGGGTTGGAAGGGAGTGGGACTTGTTATTGACACCACCGGGTAATGATTCCGTGAGCTGAGTCGGGCCAGGCCTCTGTAGGGAGCAGTACGAGCGAGATACGGGCTAGAACAAGGATGGAGGAGTGGGTGAGAGCAGGGAAGGAGGGGATGGTGGGATGGGGGGGGGTGAGGAGGGAGGGCGGCACAGGTACGAGTGAGATGAGCGGCAGGTGCATAGAGTGAGTGGGCCAGGGTGGTGGGAGAGGAGCGAGGTGTAACTGGGGAGGAGAAGGGATTCAGCTTGCGGGGTGTAACTTAAGCGGGTGAAGTGGGTAAGAGTGCACGCACAGGACGTTGAGGTTGGTGAGGCTGCTGAAAGAATCCGGCACTGTGCCGTTGAAGTCATTGAAGCCCAGCCTCCTGCATGGATCGCATGGCACGGCATGGGATGGAAGGGCTTGAGATGGCATGGCATGGGGTGGGGTGGGGTGGCATGGGATGCCATGCAGATGAATGACGCGCCTAGTGGGAGTGAGGGGCAGAATGCAGGGCAAGTGAGAGCATGAGATGGCATTCCAGCAGACGTATTCCAGCAGATGTTATTGCACAACGAATTATAAAAGCACCATCCCCCCCATGCAATCACCATGCCCCCCATGCAAGCACGCAGTGTGACTAACAGGGTGTGCAGATTAGTGAGGGCGCCCAGCCCTGGTGGCAGACTGCCCGAGAGGGCGTTCTTGTCGAGACGGCTGCGAGCAAGGGACGGGGAGATGGGCAGGGGAAACTGAGTTAGCAGAAGAGGGAGATGCTGAATGCAGAGGACTATTCGGACGATGCACAACGGAGGAGGGAGGGTGAGTTTCAAGGCATATGTGTGACAGAGCACAGCAGGCAGCAAGCAGTGTGGTTGTTACAGTGAGGTGAGAGCCATCAGGTTGCCGATCCACTCTGGAACGTTCCCATCGAGATAGTTGCCGGCCAGGCTTCTGCACGAGGGGCAGAGTGTTGCAGGGAACGGGAAGGGGTGTTTGGGGGGGTGCAGACAGTTGGGACGCATGTGGGAAGAGAGGGAGATGAGGAGGGGAGGAGGAGGAGGGGAGGAGGAGGAGGGACGGAAAGTGGCGAGTAGGAAAGGTGTGACAGGACTTTGAAGGAAGCTGTGGAAGGGCAGGCAGATGGAACAGCAGGGAAAGCTGCGGCAGAGGAAACAGGCGAAGAAGTAGAAGAACGACAGGGAGGAGGAAGAAGGGGACGAAACAGAGTCTTCGAATGCCGTGTGGTGGAATGAGGGTTGATTAGTGGTTGAGGTGCCAGGCGAAAACGGGGTCGAAGCAGGTAGTGAGTGGTGACGAAAGGTGGAAGGTGAAATTGTGACTCGACGAGAAGGTGGCACGGTGAGAAGGTGGCACGGTGAGAAGGTGCCTCGGTGAGAAGGTGGCACGGTGAGAAGGTGGCACGGTGAGAAGGTGGCACGGTGAGAAGGTGGCATGGTGAGAAGGTGGCACGGTGAGAAGGTGGCACGGTGAGAAGGTGAGGCGTGGCGTTGGGACTGACAGCTCTTGCAAGCTGGAGAGGCGGCTCAAGGCGTCAGGCAGAGACCCTATCAGACTCGCGTAGCTCAGATCGCTGCGGTCGGGGGGCGGGGGGGGGGAGAGGGGAAAAGTAGAGGGGAGGAGGAGAGGCGAGGAGGAGAGGGGAGGAGGAGAGGAGAGGAGGAGATGGGAGGAGGAGAGGAGAGGAGGAGAGGAGAGGAGGAGAGGAGAGGAGGAGAGGAGAGGAGGAGAGGAGGAGAGGAGAGGAGGAGAGGAGAGGAGGAGAGGAGAGAAGGAGAGGAGAGGAGGAGAGGAGAGGAGGAGAGGCGAGGAGGGCCGGCAAAGGGAAGGTGCTGAAAGGAACGGGCACTGAGAACGTGGACCACGCATGCAGTAGCTGATTGATTGACTGACTGCCCAATGGGGGACACGTCACACGACAAGCATGCAGGCAGCTAGTAATATTATTTTTACCTTTGCCATCCTCTTAACCCCCGTGTTGCTACTCTCTCCTTGGCTCTACCGAACCCCCTCGTGTCTTTTACAAAATCCTCCTCCCTCCTCCCTCCTCCCTCCTCGCTCATTCGCTCCTCACATCCCCCTTGCCCATCCGTCCATTCTGCTCTATTCGCGCCTCCAGTTGGTTAGTGCTGTAAACCTGCTGTGCTCGTGCTGTACTCGTGCTGTACTCGTGCTGTGCTCGTGCTGTACACGTGCTGTACGCGTGGTGTACTCGTGCTGTACTCGTGCTGTGCTCGTGTTGTGCTCGTGCCATGCGCACTCACAGCAGTGTGAGGCGCTCGAGGTCGCTGATGCTCTCTGGAATGAACGTGTCTAAATAGACGTTAGACCACTTGCTGGGTGAGCAGACGGGCACGAGGGACGGAGGGAGGGAAGGGGGGCAGGAGGGAGGGAGGGAGGGCGAGAGGGAAAGGAAGAGATATTTGGAGGAGAAAGAGTGAGGAAGGAAGGGAAGAGATGACGGAGGAAGGAAGGGAAGGAGGGGAGAAAGGGAGTGAGGAGGCATGATAAGATCACCTGGAGGGCGTTGAAGCGGCGTGAGAGAGCAAGTCAAGCATGATTCATGTAATGCTTTTGGGACGTTGCACGAGCAATCAAAGCAGTGCGACGCGCGAGGGGGAAAGGGAGAGAGCCGAGGGAAGAGGGACGAGGGACGAGGGACGAGGGACGAGGGACGAGGGAAAGGAAGACGATAGGAGAGATAGAGAGGGGCGAGCGAAGAGTTGCTGTGGGCCATGACTGAAGGCGCTGCTGGGCTTGGTGTGTGGAAAGGCAGAGGGAGCGGCGTACAGGCTCGTGAGCATGCTGTCTTGGTCCACTGCGACGTCTAGCACAGAGAATGCGCTCGGACCCAACTCATTGAGGACGGCCGCTGGTGATACACACACAGGGGAGACGCGGTGGGGAGGGAGAGGGAGGGGAAGGGGGAAGGGTTGGGGGGAGGGGGGGTGGAGAAGGGGGAGGGGTGGGGGGGGGATGGGGGAAGGGAAGGAGGGACGGGGGGGAAGAGGGGAGCGGACAGCGTGAGAAGTGGTTTGGACGGGAGGGAAGTGTGGGTTATGTGGGTATGGGAGGGTAAATGAAGCGAGGGAAATGCGAAGGTTGTAGGTAGGTAGGTAGTAGGACTGTCAGCATGCCAGTCAGCATGCCACGACTGTGTCTCTCTCCATCCCCTCGCCCAGACCGGGTGCGCAAAATTCTCTCGCCGCTCTCCGCTCCCCTCAAAACCCCGCTCTTTCCCCACATGCCCGCCAGTCACTTTCCGCCGTCCGCATGTCCTACTCTGCGCCCTGCCCCCCTCGTGCCCCCTCGGGTCTTTCGCGCAGCCACCACCCGCCTTTTGCACGCCGTCGTGGCCAGTGCCAGTGCCGTCGTGGCACTGGCAGTAGCAGTACTAGCGCTCTCTGCGCGACGAGTAGCACTCACGCAACACCGCGTTGCTTGCAGCTTCAAGCTGACTTTTCTCACATGCCGCATCGAATGCCGGCGTGCATGGCGCGCATACATCGACTCGATGGTATGGCACGGTGGGACATGGTGTGGCATGGTACGGCATGGTGTGGCATGGTGTGGCATGGTGTGGCATGGTGTGACGTGGTACGGCACGGTGTGGCACGGTGTGCCATGGTGTGGCATGCTTGCGCGGAACTCGGGGCACCTTGGGAGGACTCGAGTTCAATTTGAGCGCGGGCGCGGTGGCCGCACATGCCGCCGGCAAGGACGGCGAGGAGAAATGCAACGCGACCGAGCGATTGTATCGGGGTGCGCGGTAGCCGTGCCATCACGATATTGCGGCTGTAGCGACTGTAGTAGCGACCGGGGCGGCTGTAGCGACTGGGGCGGCTGTAGCGACTGGCTTGGCCGAGAGACTGGAGACTAGAAGGATAATGTCTTGCGACAGCGAGCTCACCAACGCCTCAAACTGCTCTTGTGGTCATTCACGAAAAGGAACGGGCAGGAAGGGCTACAATAAGGAAGCAGACGGGTAGTAAGGAGGGGACATCTGGGGGAAATCTACGCGCAATCGCTATGGCGAGAATCTAGAGAAAGGAATTGGCGGGACGGGTGAGAAGAGGGTAGACAGGTAACGAGGGGTCGTCGGGAGGAGAATCTACGAACACCTGTACTAACAAATGTGGTATCGAACAGTCAAAGGTGCTGGCTTTCAGAAGCGCACTGCTGGCACTGGAGAGTGGGGGAAGAATTCACTCGGAATGGTGAACTAGAATGTGGTGTCGTGTGGCAGCAGGGTGGGGAGGGAGGCGAGATGAGACGAGACGAGTCACGACGAGAGACGATGTTCGTTGTGGGAAGTGCGCTGGGCTGAATCCAAGAATGCACAGCACAGCGAACAAGCACACGATTATTGGTGGTGGCGGTCGGACTCGAATGGTACATGGCGCATCTCATTCCCCCCGGGCGGAAATCTTCTTGGCGGGCGAGTGCAAGGATGGCGCAAACGCACTGCATCGTTCGCGCAAGCATCGTTCGCGCTGCATCGTTCGCGCAAGCATCGTTCGCACTGCATCGTTCGCGCAAACGCACTGCATCGTTCGCACTGCATCGTTCGCCACTCTGTGCCCACAGAGTGGCGGGGCAGGCACTTGGCGAAGGTTGGGGGGAAAGGTGGCACTACGCCACCGCGTGCTGCGGAAGAGGGGAAGGGATTGACCCTAATTGACTGAGGTCTGGGGCTCCCTGGGGTGATTCTTGGCGCATTCGCCCCGCGCCAAGCTGGATCCCTCTGATGATCCCTCCCTAGCCTGTCAGCAACCAGAACGTGCGCCACCGAGTGCCTAACCCGGCTGAAACCCCAATGTAGGGGGATTGAAATGGCAGGAATTCTCGTACGCGGTACTAGATACTGATACAGTGAGCCGGGGCTAGAAGGAAATGAAACCTCACGCCATCACCTCGCAATCACAAAACAGGATAAAAGGGCCGTTGACGAATTTGAGAGTATTAGGGAAAGGAGTTATGAGAAAATGAGCTCATATGCTCAGACTATCACTTGCATGCGGCTTATCTACAGGAAGTCCAGGGAGAACTAGACGGAACATTTCGTTGGCTGGTTGTACAGGGTTACTCGTGTTTCACAAGAGAATGGCTCGCTCCTTGTGATGTATGGCTCACATCACACATTCTTGCCTTTTTCCAGAGCCCACCAGTGCAAGGCTTCAAGGAAATAGTTAGAGAACACCGACCATGTGTTGGGTTCTTCTAGAGAACATTTGCGGTTCTTCAACATAGCGCATCATCACATATGCACAATAGCCCTTCGAGAAAAATCTACCCACCCCATCACTTCCTCCATCCACTCCTGAGGGCCCGTGGCTTTGTTATGCTCATGGCATGGCTCTGGATGATCCCCTCACCGCTCACCTCACCTGCTCCCCACGCACCCTCACCACCACCACTCCTCCCTACAGCCCCCTCATACTTCCTTGGACTCCTACCAGTATACGTGCTTGCACTGCCACTGCCACCCCTGGGACTAGCCCCTGCCCCTCCTCCTAGGCCTCCTAGGGCCCTAGCAGAAGCAGGGCTGTTGCTAGTGACACTGCCACTGCCCTGCGGTCCCAATGGGGGGCTGGCAGCACTGGTGCGTGGTAGTAAAGAGTGCAAGGGAGCAGGGGGAGACGGAGAAGAATTGGTGCCAGTGGCACCAGCAGTACCACCAGGACTGCCATATTTTCCCGGGCTTCCATATTTCCCTGGGCTGTTGTATTTCCCTGGACTGCCAAATTTACCAGGACTCCCCCCCACAATGACTCCCCCTCCTCCTCCACCATACCCTATCCCACCCGTGCTGCTGCCACTACTCACACCTCCTGCTCCCCCCACGCCCACGGCCGCGCCCGCCACTCCGCCGGCTTTAAGCGCAGCCGACGCAATCATACCAGCTACATCAGGGGCATTGGGGCTATTAGAACTTACACCCATGCCAAGACCCATATACTGGCGTGGGCTAGCGGACAGAGGGCCACGGGACGAGGAAGAGGAGGCGGAGCGGTGGGGGTGGGGAGCGGAGGCAGGGGTGGAGGAGTGTTGGTGCGGGCTGTAGGGGTTGTGGGCGTGGGGGCTGGCACGGGCGAAGGCAGCAGAGGGGGACGACTGGTGCACGTGCCAGGTGGGGCTGTCCCGCAGGGAGCGCGAGGCGAGGTAGGAGGGGCGGCGCGCTACCCAGCCGTCACGCTGTGAAGGGGAGAGAGGGGCGGAGGATGGATGATTGGGGCAAGGTGGGGATGGGAGAGGGATTAAGGCGACTGATAGTGAGAGGGACCACGCGAGGTGAACGTTGGAAAGAACATGGGTGGGTGGGTGGGTGTGTGTGTGTGTGAGGCTCCATTAACTTGTCTCGCCCCCATCCTGGCCATTACACCACCACGCAGTCATCCTGAGTTCTGACCCATGCTCACCAGAGTTGGGTCCTCCGTTTCGAGCATGGCCACCACTTGCTTCATCCTCGGCCGCTTGAGTGCGTTGCCATCCACGCACCGCAGCGCCACGCCCACCACATACTCCACCTCGTCCACGCCCACCTGCCCGGCTATCCGCGCATCCACCGCCTCGGCTACCCTGTTCTCTGCTGACAGTCTCTTCACCCACCGCACTATGTCCACCTGGGGGAAAGGGAACCGGGGTAACAGGGGACGGTGGGGAGGGGGAAGTGGGAGAAGGGGAAGGGGATTTGAGTGGTGGAGGGGGCACTGTAAAGGGGGGGGTTAGAAGGTGCTCCCATCTTCCACGCACCGCAGCACCACCCACACCACGTAATCCACCTCGTCCACGCCCACCTGCGCCGCTATCCTTGCATCCACTGCTTCTGCCACTCTGTTGTCTGCAGACAGTCTCTTCACCCACCGCACTATGTCCAGCTGGGGGGCAGAGCCGAGGGGGGGTAAAGGAGGGGAAGGAGGAGGGGGAGAGGGAGTGCTGTTGGGGGGAGGGGGAGTGCTGTTGGGGGGAGGGGAGTGCTGTTGGGGGAGGGGGAGTGCTGTTGGGGGGAGGGAGAGTGCTGTTGGGGGGAGGGGGAGTGCTGTTGGGGGGAGGGGAGTGCTGTTGGGGGGAGGGGAGTGCTGTTGGGGGGAGGGGGAGTGCTGTTTGGGGAGAGGGGTTTGGGTGGTGGTGGTGATAAGCTTGGCGCACGCGAGAGAGAACGAAGAGGTTGGGTGCATTGTCAAAGGGGTCTACCTTCCAGCTACCAACGGTGCTACGACTGGCGCTACCAGTGGTGCTACCAGTGGTGCTACCAGCGGCGCTACAAGCAGTGATGCCAGCCCCTCACCTGTTCCGCCGGCAGGTGCGTGTCGATGGGCTTGCGGCCGGCCACCAGCTCCAGCAGCAGCACGCCGAAGCTGTACACGTCGCTGCGGTCCGTCAGCAGCCCCGTGTTGATGTACTCGGGCGCCACGTAGCTGGGGGGACACAACATGAGGCAGAATAGGTGAGGAGAGAGGGAGAAGTTAACACCCCCCCCAGTACTCCCCACATTTCTCCTCAGAAGCCTCCCCTACCACATGCCTCGATTTCCATTCTCGAAAGCGCCTCAGGCCATTGTTTAACCCCCCACACCCCACCCCAACCCACCCCACCCCTCCCATCCCCACTCCCCCCATTTATCCCCCCCCCCCCCGCCAACGTTCCCCTGGCAGCATTCCATCCCATGGCATCATACCCGACGGTGCCGAGGAGGCGCGAGGGCGCGTGGGAGTTCAGGCGGCCAGAGATGGCGGCGAGGGCGAAGTCGGCGAGCTTGGGGTTCCACTGCGCATCCAGCAGCACGTTCGCCGCCTTCACGTCCCGGTGCACCACACGCACGCCCGCACCCTCATGCAGATACGCTAGACTGGGAGAGCGCAAAGCGGATGGAAGGGAGGAGTGGAGGCACGGAATGGCAAGGAGAGAGGGGGTTGAGCCCAGCAGCACGTTCAACGCCATCACATCCCAGTGCTCCACCCGCTCGCCGCCGCCGCCCTTATGCAGGTATGTTAGACTGGGAGAGCGCAAAGCGGATGGAAGGGAGGAGTGGTGGCACGGAATGCTAGACTGGGAGGGCTGGACGTATAGAAGGGACGGGAGGAGGGAGGGGAATGAGTTGAGATGCACGTTGCTGGCCTTAAAATGCCCCAGTGGTACACCACCCTCATGCCTGTGCCTTTGTGCAGCACCCCAGACTGCACACGCACCGTGGTGGGAGGAGGACGGTGAGGGGTTGGTTGGTTTTGGGGGGGGGGGGTAGATGTGCGGGCCGAAGAGGTGGGACAGAATCGACGTGCATGCGACAGAGGTGTGCAGAGGTTCTGGGGAGCAGAGAGTAGGCCAGACTCGCAGAGAGCAGTAGTAGCAGCCGTGCATGGCTTACCCGCGTGCACATCCCAGTGCAATGTGAACTCGCAGCTTCCATTCCAGGGGCGCAGAAGCAACACCATCAGCCGGCCCACCACCAGCAGGAGCACCCGCCCCACCAGCAGCACCAGCAGCACCGCCAGTGGCGGCAGGGGTGTGCAGCCACGAGTGCAGGGTGCCGTTGGGCACATACTCCGACACCAGCAGGCGCTCGCTGCTGCCCTCGGCGCAGCACCCCAGCAGCGCCACTATGTTGGGGTGCCGCGCGCGCGCCACTGCCTCCACCTCAAACCGGAACTCCCGAGGGGACTGGTCCGGACTGGGAGAGAGGGGGTGGAGGGAGGGGGGGGGGGGGTTGGGGGTTTGGGAGGGTGGGAAAGTGGAGGAAGCCAAAGGGGGTTGCAGGGGTGAGTGGGCCGATGGAGATTCGGGTGCCAAGGTCGGGCCAGCGGGCCACTGCCTCCAACTAAAAAAGCGGAACTCACGGGGCGACTGGTCTGGGGGAGTAGGTGAGGGGATGGGGGGTGGGGGGGTGGGGAGAGGAGAGGGTGGCGCGTGGGGGTTGGAAAGAGGGGCAACGGTTGGTTGGGAGGATGGGGGCGGAGAAAGCAATCCTGGATCAGGCGCCGACTGCAATCCCTTTCCCGGATGAAAGGAGAAACGATGTGGGTGGGGAGGGAGGAGGAGTGTGGGAGGGGAAAGAGTGAGAGTAGGGAGAGAATGACAGGTGAGTGCAGCTATTCAGGTGAGCGCCGAATAATCCCCACGCACGCACTTGCAGTTGGTGAGTCGCTTCACAGCCACAGTGGTGCCGTCCGGCAGCCGCGCCCTGTACACCACGCCATTCCTCCCTGCACCCAGCAGGTTGCGCTGCCCCTGCCGCCCAAACTCGTTGGTGGCCAGAGCCAGCTCCGCATACGAAAACACCCGCTCCACCTCCTTGCCCCCACTGCCATCGCTCTCCTCGCTGCTCGCCTCGTCCTTCTCTGCATCCTCCCCAGCCTCTCCTGCCCTCTCTCCCACTCCTCCCACTGCTGTTGCTTCTCCTCCTCCTCCTCCTCCTCCTCCTCCTCCTGTTTTTCTGCTTTCTCCTCCTCCTGCTCCTCCTCCTCTCGCCCCTCCAACACCCCATGTCCGTCCACTGACTTCTGACACGGAGCGGCCCAGCTGGTCTCTCCTCCCCTCCATCACACTCCCATCACTCTCACTCCACGTGCTGCTCTCCTCCTCACTGCTCCACACCCCTCCCGAACCCCCTGTACCCCCTCCTCCTCCCCTCCCTCCCCCATCCGCCCCGCTCTCACTATCCTCCTCTAGATCCGCGGCTCTTAAAGCCCGACCAGCTCCGCCATACGCAGGCAGACGGCTGGATGCCACTGCACCCCCTTCCTTCTTCCCACCGCCTCCACTCCCTACTGCAGTTACTGTTGACCCTGTTGACCCTGTTGACCCTGCCCCTGTTTCCCCTGCACCCCCTTCGCTGGATACCCCTCGCAAGCCAACAGCAGCTGCTGTGGCAGCAGCACCAGCACCTGCAGCAGCAGCAGCAGCGGCAGCGGCTGTGGTGGCAGTGATACCACCAGCACCGCCAGCAGCAGCAGCAATAGCGGAGTCAGGAGGGGCAGCAGGAGGAAGCAGCGAGGAGGGAGTGTGTGGGGAGCCGGACTTGGGACTTCCAGAGAGATAGAAAGAAGGTGGGGTGTGTGGTTGCACCCCTGCTTGCCCCCCTGCCCCCCCTGCTCCCCCTGCTGCGGCAGTGTGGGAGCCGACGAGGGGGGAGCGGTGGTGGGCGAGGGAGCGGAGGGAGGGTAGGGGGACAACAGGGGGGATGACGATGGGGGGAGATGGGGAGGGGGAGGCGGATGAGGGGAGAGATGTGGGCTTGGGGGATGGGGTGTGGGAGGATGAGACGACAGATCGAGGAGAGGTGCCCTGAAGCGCCGCAGCAGAGGCAGATGCAGTACAAGGACTAGCATGGGGTGGTGGCACGCCATGGCTTGCCAAGCTTGGAGATGCAGCAGCAGCCGCAGTCGCAGCAGCAGCAGCAGCAGCAGCAGCAAGGGCGGCAGAGGTGGGGGGAGATGTGGGGATGGGCGGAGGTTGAGTGGGGCTCAGCAAGGGGGAAGAAGAGGTGAATGGGATGGCAGGGGGAGGCAGAGGCGGCAGCAGCAGTCCCGTCTCGCTGTCCTTGTCCCCACCATAGCCCTCATCTGCTGCTGCTCCCCTCTTGATCCCTCCGGTTGCCATTCGGCTCTCCGCCATTCCACCTGCCATTCGGCTCTCCACTTCCCCCAGAGTTTCTGTACTCTCCACTCCCCCAGCGTCTTCCCCGTACGTCCGCCCACTCCCCTGTGACCATTTCCGCTGACCGCCCAGGCCATTGCCACCGTCGCCACCGCCGCCGCTGCTGGCGCTGGCACTGGCACTGTCGCTGCTGCTAAAGGTGGCTGCGCTTCCAGTGATGGCCCCACTGCTGCTGCTAGTGGTTGGGGGGGTGTTGTTGCTTGCATGGGGGGTGGACGCAGCGATAGCAGCAGCAGCAGCAGCAGCAGCAGCAGCAGTGACAGAGGCAGGAGCTGGGGCAGCAGCAGCAGTTGCAGCAGCAGCAGTTGCAGCAGCGGCACCAGGTGTAGAGAGACCAGCGTCTTCTGCATTGCATGCACCCGCAGTGCTGTTGGGGGAGTCCCTGTGGTCACTGCGAGCAGCAGCAAAACCAGCAGCCACTCCTATCGCAGCAGCAGCAGCAGCAGCAGCAGCAGCAGCAGCAGCAGCAGCAGCACCTGCCGCAGCCCCTACCGCAGCTCCACCAGCCCCGGCAGCAGCAGCAGCAGCAGGCACATCAATCGGAGCAGCAGCAGCAGCTGCAACAGCAGCTCTACCGGGAGGACCATCAACCACAGCGCCACCAGCGCCACCACCGGCGCCACCACCAGTGCCATCACCAGCCATTCCACCAGCTGCAGCGCCATCTTCCCCACTCCCCTCCATCCCACGCCCTAACTTGCTTCCCTGCCACTTCTCCCCTCCTCCCTGCCTCTCACTACCCCGCCCGTCCCTCTTCCCCTTCTTCCCCTCCTCCCCCCCCTCCCCGTCTGCTGCAGGCGCAGGGCGGCTCCCATCCGCCCCTCCCCCTGGCAGCGGTTGCGCAGCGGGGGAAGGTGGAGGGGGGGCAGCCAAAGCGGCATTCCGCGAAGGGGTACTCAGAAACTTGGTGAAAGACCCCACCACCTGAGACTCCCCTCTCTCCATCCTCCCCTCTTGCCCCTTCTCATCAGCATCCCTCTCCCCACCTAGAATACCACCAGCACCAGCAGCGGCGGCAGCGGTGGCGGAGGTGGGAGTGGTGGGGTGTTTCGGCTTGCGTAAGCAGAGACAGGCGAAGAGGAGAAGCGCTATAGCGAGCACCGCCACTGCTGCGATGATCCCTGCCACCATCCCCACGCTTATACCGCTCCCTCCGCTGCTACTGCTACTGCTGCCACTGCTGCCACTGCCGCTGCTGCTTGTGGTGGTTGGAGGTGGGACGGTGGATGTTTCGGTCGCAGCAAACGTGGAGGAGGGGTCAGGAGGAGGTGGGGAAGAGAGAGAAGGGGAGGGGGATGAGGGCGGAGTGAGAGGCAAGGGCAGGCTAGGCGGGGGTAAGGAAGGGGGAGAGGGGGAGGAAGGCGGAGGGGAGGAGGGGGGAGGCTGAGAGGGGGGTGCGGATGGGGGAGGGGGGGAGCTCGGGGGGGATTGCGGAGGGGGAGGCGAGGGGGAAACGGGTGGTGGGGAAGCGGGGGGTATGGATGCTGGGGAAGGCGGGGGGGGGAGCGCGTCTGTTGGTGTTAAAGACACGCCGGGACATGGCTGCAAGGGAATGGTAGGGTGACGCGGGGGAAAAAGGATGGAAAGAAGAAGAGCCAGGTGGGTCAGAGCTCAACCAGCAGGCCCGTGCCGTTGTAATGCAAGGCGCATGTGCAGTTGGTACAGAAATGGTAGAAAACGGAGTGGGGTGGGGTGGGGTGGAGTGGGGTGGGGTGGAGTGGGGTGGGGTGGGGTGGGGTGGGGTGGGGTGGAGTGGGGTGGGGTGGGGTGGGGTGGGGTGGGGTGGGGTGGGGTGGGGTGGAGTGGGGTGGGGGCCTGGCATGATACGGCGCGTGTGCTCCTATCCAGCACACCTCACACCTCTCCCTGTCATCCTCCCCTCTCCACCCTCCCTCCCCCACCCCCCTCTGACTTACCGCGTCCCCACAAAGGTTGGGTTCGTTGTTCGTGAGGTTGAACATGGCGCCCGGCGCGCCTGCCATGGCCGCCAGGCCGGGCGGCAGCGGGCCCACCAGGAAGTTGCTGTCCACACGCAGCCACGTCAGCCTGGATAATGCTGACAGCGTGGACGGCAGTGGGCCGGCCAGATTGTTGCCACTCAGCCCCAGCTGCTCCAGCTGGCAAGGAGAAACGGAGAGGCAGGAGAGGGTGAGGGGGTGGGGGGGAGGAAGGGAGGAAGGGCGAGGGACAGGGGGGGGAAGGAAGGGCGGCATTTGGGGAGTGGGAGAGAAGGCAGGAGAAGGTTGGGTTGGAAGAGGGGAGAGTGTGTTCTGTATTCTGTTCTGTCCTGTGTCCTGTGTATGTCATTGTGAGATGAGATGCCATCATGCCACGCCACCAAGTCCGTCACTCGAGAGAGCCTGGATGGAACTCCCCAACTCCGCAAGCAACTGCCTCTCCCTCATCCTCATCCTCATCCTGCTGCCACGCCTTCAATCCCTCCCCTTCCCCGCACTCAAACCGAATCAAGCCACCACAGTCGCCCTTCCGCCCACCCTCCCACCCTCCCCCCGTCCCCACACCCCCAGCCTCCGCCAGGCGCCGGTTCCCCCGACTGTGTGTGCAGCCTTTGCGGCGCGTCGTTCGCGGCTGAGCGCGGTGACGGTGCAGGGCAGCGCGTCCTGCGGCTAGCCTCCCCTCCCTCCCCCTTGCTCTCCCCTGATGGGGAAGACACAGGTGGCTGTTTCCCTTCATCCCCTAACCCCCACCCCCCCGCGCCCCCTGTTCCCCCGATCCCTGGTCGCCAGTCCGCCCCGCGTGGTCTTACGCTGGAGAGCGCGGTGACGGTGTAGGGCAGCGCGCGTCCTGCAGCTGGCTGGGCGCCTCTTCCCCCCCCCTCCCCCCCCCGCGCGGTCTTACCCTGGAGAGCGCGGTGACGGTGTAGGGCAGCGCGTCCTGCAGCTGGTTGCCGTCCAGCAGCAGCACGCGCAGCGACCGCATGGGCGACAGGTCGGGGATCTGCCCGCTGATGCCATTGCCCGCCAGGTCCGCCACCTGGGGGAAGGGGACAGGCGCGCGGAGGGAGAATCGCGGAGGGGGAAGCGCGGAAGGACAGACAGGGGCACGGGGACGGGGACGGGAAGCAGAATGTTGTGGCGGAGAGGGAGGCTCGCCAAAGGACATGTTTTCCTGAAAAACTTTCGACCCCCCCCCCCTCTTCCCCCACCCCCCTCCCCCCCCCCACACCGCGGGCCCCACCGCGTTTTCACACCCCGCGGACGCTGCCGGCCGCGCGAGGGAGTTGAGCGCGCACCTGGAGGTTGCCGAGGTTGTTGATGGTGTTGGGGATGTCGCCCTGCAGGTAGTTCCTCGGCACCTCGATGCTCGTGACGTCGCTCATCTGCGCCATCTCCCCCGGCAGCTGCCCCGACAGCCCCATGTCCGGCAGCGACAGCGCCACCACCTTGCCCGCCGCGTCGCACACCATGCCCTGGGGGGAAGGAGGGGGGAGGGGTTGAGGGGGGCGGGGGGAAGAAAGGCAGGGGGGGAAAGAGGAGGGGTGGGGAAGAGGCGGAGGAGGCATGCTCGCTTTTTAGATCTCTAAAAAGACCTCCCTGGTGCGTTTCTCAACAGGCGTCGACGATCGGAGGAGCGAACAACCAGCTAGCGGAAGTGACCTTTGGGGCGTTCACGGGGGCGAAAGAAGCTCGGAGGTAGGGTGAGGTGGAGTGAGGTGGGAGATACTGCCGGTGCGTACGAGGAAGGGCGGCGCGTCGCACGGCGAGCGCGAGTTGGTCCAGGACCAGAGGATGGTGCCCGGGGGATCGAGCTCACGCGCCATGCTCTCCCAGTCCGCGCCATGGACCGGCGCGGGCGCGCGCAGAAAGGTCAGGCAGACGAAGCAGACAAGGCGGAGAAGAAGCATGGGCGGGGCGGTTTGTCCCAGACGGCGACGATGCTCGAGCTCGCGGGTAGAGCGGTCGTGCGACCACCGCTGCTGCTGCTGTCGCCTTGGCGTCGCACAGCCGCCGCCGCCGCCGCTACTGATCCCGCGGTTGCTGCTGCTGCGCGAGATGGCGGCCATCCTTCCCCGATTGCCCGGCGAGGGGAGAGGGAGAGAGTCGCGTGCTACGGTTGCGACATGTCTATTACTGGACTCGATGCCGCTGACCCTGCTTATTTTGAGTCGACTCAAAAGCGTGCTACGGTTGCGACATATCTATTACTGGACGCGGTGCCGCTGATCCTGATAGATTAGGTGAAGGCCAGTTTCGCGAAACAGGCTAAGAGGCCCACAACACCTCAGGGCGGCGGCAGCCAGAGCAGCTAGAACTGACTAAAGTGATGCTGGAGATGTGTCAAACTAAGGCGCGAGGTAAGGTTGGAATGGAAGAAAACAGTTCCTAGGCCTGCGTAACGTAACTGCTGTCTGAAGAGTTTGGTTTTGCTCTGGTCGTGTGGGCTCGCCTTCCTCATTTCCGCATCTCATCCCAGTTCCCAATTCCGCTCGCACAGCCCATCTGTACTCTACATGTGTGTGTGTGCGCACATGGGCCCGACATGGCCGCCAAACCCCTACAGACAGAAATAAAAATCACACAGAAGGTGCACCTGCTGCTTGCATTTTCCGAAACCCGAACCAAACCAGCCCAACCTCCAAAGCGGGACCAAGCCTAAGGTTCCCCCCCACACCTACACCATGGTGTCCTCGTGCCCCTATCTCGCCCCTCCCAACCACCGACCAAGCCAAAACAGGTTTGGCTTCGGCACTTCGAGCGCGTCGGCCTTGGGGCCTTGCGCCCCTAGGCGACGCCGCTTTATTTTTTCAAGGGATAAACATTTGAAACAGTGGTAACTGAGTGATGCCTCCTGGAGGTGGCGAGATCTCGCTACCTGCAGATAAAAATTTGAGGGGGGATTGTGGCATTTGTGAACTGTACTGATAATCATGATCGCCTCGACTCATCCCCCTTCCCCTCACGTTTTCCCAACCTCCTTCCCCCGCGTTTTCGATTGCCCCTTCCCCCAACGATCTCGATTCCCCCTGGCCCCCCAATTTCCAAACGCCCCCCCCCTGCCCCCTCAAATTCAACTCCCCTGGCCCCCCAATTTCGAAGCCCCCCTGCCCCCCCAAAATTCGATTCGCCCTACCACCCCTCGCTCGTCCAACTCCCCCCGTCAATTCCGTTCCCCCCTTCCCTCTCTAGTCCAATTCCCCCCCAGTCAAGTTCAATCCCCCCCACCCCTCACATTTCGTTCCGCTAGTCAAAGTTCGATTCCCCCCACCCACCCCTCGCGATTTCCCCGTGAAGTTCGATTCCCCCAACCCCTCGCAATTCTAACTTCCCCCAGTCAATTTTGATTTCCCCCACCCCGCGAAATCCAATTCCCCCAACGCAATTCCGATTCCCCAGTATCGCAAGTCGAAATTTCCCCTCGACGAAACTCAGCCCAATTCGTGTCAATACTTATCTTTCGCCTCTCGCCCTCCAATCACTTCCGTCCCCCTTCTTGACCTCCACAATTCCATTCCGAGACGCGTTGAATGTGTACCGCGGCTTTGAGTCCCCCATGCCAGATCGTCGCCAATCTTCGCTAGCGACGTGGCTGTAAAATAGCCCTGGGGAAATTCGCCTTCGAATGAGAGAAGAGGGCGATAGTTTTCGCAGCGTGTGCTGGAACTGGAGCCGAGACGCTAGCGTCTCGTCCAACCAAGGGCGGCCCCACCGTGACGGCGGCCATGCGAACTCCAAACAAGATCGGTACAAACTGCTCCGTAATTTGTTAACTGTTCAAGTCTCTGTTCTATAAGTGCAACAAATGTAAACGACAATATCGAAATCACCTAAACTGTTGAGAATGACCTGACAAGTTGCCCTTCGTTACAGAAACCCTTCGTTAGTAATTCGTCCGCCCCGCTTCTTCCCCACCTGCTTCTTCTCCCGTTTCCTTACCCTTCCCCGTTGTCTTATCCAGGTCAGCCATAAGGTGTCTGCTGGACTTCCCTGCCCTACAGCCTCACTTGAGCTATCCATGGTAAAACCTTGTGAACGTTTCCATCCGCCGCGTCGCCAGGTCGGTACTTGTCTCCGCAGTCGATCTTGCTTCGTCTCCGCGTGCTTCCACCGTTAGCTTGCGCACGCAATCACTCCGTGCGATCCGTCTCGCGGCCTTGCATCAACGCTCCACGCCGAGCAGAATAATATCCGATCCTTCGACTCCATTGCCAACAGCGATCGCGATCAGCGTCAGAACAGTTTTTTCTTCTTATTTTTTCGAGGCGATAAAAAAATCTAGCGACTAGCGTGGCAAACGCGGCAGCAGCATCAGCGCGAATGGCGCAAGCTCCGCAGGGGCTGGGGGGAGGTGGGCGCGCGGATCTACGCGTTGCGGAGACTGCCTTCCGCAATAACATCCCCCCAGGATCAGGATCGCAGGGGGCGCAAGGATCCTTCACGCCATATTCTGTATGACGCATTTCCTACGTCGTTCGCACCACTCACGTATGGTCATCACGCATTTTCTGCGCTCTTTGCGGCGGCAGAGGCGTAGCGCAGCATGTTGCGGTAGCCGGTGCCATTAAACTATAAAGGGAGCAGATATGATGAACTGTGTTTCCCCTCCCCCCCCCCCCCCCCCCTCCCCCCCCCCCCTTTTTTTTTTTTTTCTCTCTCTCTCTCTCTCTCTCTCTCTCTCTCTCTCTCTCTCTCTCTCTCTCTCTCTCTCTCTCTCTCTCTCTCTCTCTCTCTCTCTCTCTCTCTCTCTCTCTCTCTCTTCCCTTCCCTCCCCGTTCTGTTCTCTCTCCTCTCAGGCATTGCTCTCCTCCGAAATGCGTCCCGCCGCCCCCCGTGGGCGGGGTGCATCCGCGGCTGCTACTACCGCTGATGGCACAGGTCGCCGCGGTCGCGGGCGCGGAAGGGGTCGGGGGCGGGGGAGGCCAGCTTGGGGGGAAGCGCATAAGCCCGCATGGGCGGACACAGTAACGCCCGCGTGGGTAGATAATGCCACGAAGTCTGTCTCTGCATCCACCGCCGTCCGATCAGGCCCATCTCGTGCCGTACCATCTGCTCCCATGGGGTCGGATGCACCGTCCGATGCGTCGAATCGTGACGCCGATGGTTCAATCTCAGCCGCAGATGTGGAATCAAAGGGTCCGTTACCACCGGGTAGCGGGCAAGTGACCCTTAACCTACGCGCGTTTAATCTCTTCGCCGCTAAGATCCGGCCTGCCGTGCGGAGGGATAATCCGCATTTGTCGGTGTGTGAGACGGAGCGCGCCATCGGCATGCGTTGGAACGCGCTGGCGGCCTCCGCGCGCCAGGAGTATTTAAACGCTGCGCGCGCGGGAGTGCCCGCGTTGGGCGCGAACCCCGCCGCAGCAGCACCGGCGGCGGCGCAGGGAGGGGAGCTGCTAGATGCGCATGCGCGCCAGACGCGGCGGCGGCGCAAGCGCGCGGAGATAGAGGCGGAGATCGAAGCGGAGAACCTTCTGAAGCAGCAGCAGATAGCCGCGCGGTACGGCATTGGCGCAGGGCTAGGCATGGGGCTAGGCGCAAGCCGGGCGCACAGCAACCCGTGGGGGGGGCATGGGGGGAACTCCGCCGCGGATGCCTCCGCAATGTTTCCCCGCGTAAGGGGGCATGGCCGGGATTTGGAGCGGAGTGGCAGCGGCACGAGCAGCAGCACCGCAGACGAGGGGGAGTTCGCGCCTAGCGTGAGCTTTGGCGGGTTATTGACAGGGGGGGAAGGGGGAGAGGGGCAATCAGGCGGGACTGTACGGCTGGGCCAGTCGGTGCGGGGGATGGTGGATGGCGTGTTTGAGGCGGGTTTCTTTGTGTCCTTGCGCGTGGAGGGGTGCAGTGCGGTGCTGCGCGGTGTGGTGTTCACTCCAGCGCCCGCTGTGCCTGTGACCTCGCTGAATGATGTTGCTGCTGGTGTGCCGCATGTGGGGGGTGCAACAGCGGCTGAGGGGGAGAGGGAGCAGGGTTCTCAGCTTGGGCCGGTGGAAGGGGCAGCAGAAGCCCCCACACAGCAGGAGGGGATGGCGGCTGCTGTAACTTCGGAAGCTGCAGCATCAGAAGCGCTAGCAGCAGCAGCAGCAGTGGCAGAAGCAGAAGCAGCAGCGGCGGAAAAAGCAGAAGCAGCAGCAGGAGCAGTAACAGAAGCAACAGCAGCAGAGGATGCAGCAGCTGCTGCAGCAGCGGCGGCGTTAGCAGGGCAGGCCATGGCGGTGTCTGGTGAAGCAGCCATGCCGGAATCAGGTACAGCGATTGCACCCATGCACATGGTTCACGGCATGGGCTCTGAAGTGGATGCAATGCACCATGAGGTGGTTCAGCACACAGTGGATGTTGCGGCAGACACGCATGGCTACGTTGTTGCCTCTGCAATGCATGTGACTGGCAACGACACAGCAGCAGCTGATCTAAACCACGCTGTAGCTGCTGGCCACAGTATGCACCCGATGCATGATGCTGGAGCATCAGTGGAGGGCAGTGTACCATCACAGGACATGGTTGGGACGATATCTGCAGCACAAGACATGTGGCATGCTAGTCACCACCACCATGCGCAGGCGCTGGCTAGGGTGACAGCAGAGGGTGTTCCTACGTCGAGTGGTGTGGTGCATGGTGGTGCATTTCACGTGGTGGATCACACAAACCCTAGTGCTGCAGCTGCACACTTCACCTTTGCGTCACAGCACTTGGAGGATCTGCTAACAGCCAGCCAAGACAGTGCATCCCAGGTACCCATGAATTTGCAACCTGGAACCTTTTAGCTGTGTTGTACGTTTTCCCTCACTGACACCTGGTGTTCCTAGTGAGGTACTTAGCCCGTGGCTGCAAAACTTCCCGTTTCTGACATGTCAATGGAGTTTTTTTTTTTTGCTAGGAATGAGATGGGTTGTCAGAGTTTTAGAACATGCGTATTGGTTCCATTCCTGGTATTGATTTCTGATGAGTTGGGTACACTTGCAAGAACTTCTATAATGATTCAAAACACATCCAATTTATAGCTTGCAATGTTCCCCACAAACAGCTGCCTAGTAAAGCTTGGTAGCACAGAGATATCAACTCTTATCAATAATGTACGTAATAGTCACACCAGTTGTTCATGGTGCTTAGAAGGGTCTCTAGAAGGTGAGATCCTTAGGGTTCTCGATAATTTGGGCCAACGTTTGGAGGAAAGCAGCCAGATCAGCTCCATAAATGATCCGGTGATCAGCAGTCACATTCACCTGCAGGCACAAGGGAGATAGAAACGTCAGACTGTGGATGGGACCAACAAAAGGGGGAGCAAAGACAAAGCTCAACATGACGTACAAATACACCAGTGAAGCACACTACGCTCTTGGTGATACATCAACCAACCCCATGAGCCACCATGGCAGGAAGTACGCACCTGCATCTGCCTCCGCACAGCAAACATGCCATTGGGCAGAGCAACAACCTTGGGGCGAGATGCACCAACAGCCATGATAGCTCCCTGCAGAGGTAACAAGCACCAATCCACACAAGCAAAGATTGCATGAGAAAGAGGGGGTTGGGGGGAGGGGGGGAGAGGGGGGAAATAGTGGTTGTCAGAAACAGACACCCAGAAAGCCCATCAGCAGTGCAATTGTACCAAATATGAAACTGCTGCAAGGTAGATGGACAAACTGTGGACATAAGATATGGGAGACGGTACCTGGCCAGGAGGCAGAATGGCGTCGAAGCGATCCACGCCGTACATTCCAAGGTTGGAGAGAGTGAAGGTGCCTGAATAGATTGTGAGGCAGGGCAGGACAGGGCAGGACGAGGAGGCGCAATCACATCGCAGCCATTGAGTGCAAAGGTGTTACTGCTGCACGTAACAAGGAGAATGCCAAAGTGGGGAAGGACTGGACTGAACAGGCGGCGATAATGCTGGCACTCACCTGTTTGGTACTCCGCTGGGCTCAGTCTCTTTTCCCTGGCCTTCTGCACCAGCTCACGCCACTTGTTTGACAGAGTGTAGATGTCCATCTGCGCTCACACACGCACAAGCAGCACATCACACAGCCTGGCTGAGGTTGTGCCATAACCAACTAGCTACTACCAGCCTCGTGGACCACATAGGGTATTCCGAGCAGCTTGAGTGGGAGACTAGCATAAGGGCAGGTGACTGACTGAAGATTACATCACGGGTTGGTCCGCAGCACAGTGGAAAAAATCACGAAGAGTGGGTGGACGGAAAGGCAGGTGCATACCTTATCAGTGTCCTGCAGCACGGGGGTGATGAGTCCGCCATCCATGGCGACGGCCACGCACACGTTAATGCTGGGCGCGAACACGAAGCTGCCACCGTCGCGGCAGCTGGCGTTCACCGTGGGGTGCTGCGCCAGCGCCATGGCCACCGCCTTGGCCAGCAGCGCCGTCATCGTCACGCCCTTGCCCTTGATCTGGTGGATGCCGCGGGCGGGTTGGCGATGGGACGGATTGCGCGAGTGAGGTAAGAAGAAAATGGGAGACAGGACGAGGAAAGAGGAGGAAATGCGAGACGCATGGGAGGGGAACGGGAAGAAAGTTCGACATAGGCATAGGCGTGGGCGGAGGGAGAGGGGGAAGTGGGGGCGTGGACCGGAAAAAGACAGTGGTCGATCGGTGAAGAGCAGAAGTGGTACTTGTGTGAGTGGCGATCAGGGTGCGAGAGCGACGGACTGACCTGCTTGTAGAGCGCGTCGAGGGCGTCAGTGGTGATGGTGTAGCCCACGCGGAACGTGGGCACGGCCAGGCTCGCCTCCATGTTGCGAGCCACAGCAGCCTGCATGCCGCTGAATGCCACCGTGCTCCCAGGCACCACCGCTGGCCCAGCAGCCGCAGCTGCCGGAGCAGCAGCAGCAGCAGCGGGGGCGGCAACGGGGGCGGCAGCAACTGCTGCGGGGGCGGCAGCAGCAGCTTCGACATCAGCAGCAACAATGCGACCCAGCGGCCCTGATCCGCGAACCGTCGCCAGGTTCACCTGCCACCCGTACAACCGGCAAAAACAGGTAATCCACGAGCCAAACAACATGCGGCCAGATCTAGGCTAGATGTCCCGGTCCTTATTATTATTATTCGTTTTACTAATGTGGCGCACCTTAAGCTCCTTGGCCAGCTTCTTAGCGTAGGGAGTGGCCACGATGCGACCGCCCTCAGCCGCAGGGTGCTGCGACACTACCGGAGCCGCCACAGCCGGAGCAGGCGCCGCAGGCGCGGGAGGAGGGGGAGGGGGAGGGGGAGGAGCGGATGCCTCGACGGGAGCAGCGGCAGCAGGAGCGGCAGCGGCAGGGGCAGAGGAACCCTTGAGCTTCGCCGCCGCAGCCTTGGCCGCGTCGAGCTCGTCCTCGGATTCAGCGAGCACCGCGATGGCTGAGCCCACAGCCGCCACCTGGCGGGACGGACGACGTGGAGTGGAGACATGGCGATGGAGACATGTCAGTTTACTTCATCTCGTGTTGGTTCAACATGCGATTGTTAGTTTGTTCGCCTCCGAGATTTGGAGGCGAGCGACGAGGACATGAGAAATGTGAATACGGAAGCGAACATCGATCGAGGCATGCTGGAATATGTCAGTGAACCAAGGGAAGCGGAGGAAGGGTTGCCTCAGAGGTAGTGACAGTTATGGTGTCAGCACATGGCTTGATGCCAGTCGGATAATAGGAAAATGGAACATCACTGGCAACTTAACAATGAAAAACGAGAAGTAGCTATAATGGAGTATATCCGAAGGATAGCTCAAAGGGGCGACGGATACGAGAGGGGGGGGGGGGGGGAGGGGGGGGATGGAGGAGGGAGAAGACGAGAGGAAGAGCGAGAGAGACAATACGACAATACAAGCACCGGGCGGACTCTTAGTGGAATGACCAACTAAGTATCCAATGCCATCAGAGGTAGTGACAATGTGCGAATGATCACCACATGACATCAAGCCATTCTGACGAAGAAGCAGTTTATCTATCATTGGCATTGGAGGTGTTTTCCGATGTTGTCTGTCTGTGCGCAAAGCGACAGATCAAGGCATCTGACTCACGACACTGCAGCAACAAACCGACCCAGAGGAGGATATGGCTGAATAAGAAATGGCCAGCAAAAGGTGAACCAGCTAACGGAATACCGTTGCATCCACTCCGCTCTTCAGCAGCACGTTCAACAAGACACTAAGAAACTAACCTGAGAAAGGCGAGCAGAAGGACACATGCAAGCAAGCCTACCTCACCCTCGTCGACGAGGATGACAGCGAGGATGCCGTCGTAGAAGGTCTCGACGTCCATGTCCGCCTTGTCCGACTCCACCACCACCACGCTCTCGCCCTTCGACAGCTGGTCGCCTTCGCTGCGATAAGAAACACGTAACAAAGGAAGTTCGGCAGCAGCCAACTGACTAGGCATATCTAGCGGTAACGACGTCAGAGGCAGACAGGTGGAAGGAGAGGAGGTGAAGCGCACAGGAGATTCTAAGTTGGAAAAAGAGGGATATAGATTGCTTCTTTCGTATTTTAATACCTCTTCGACCAGGCGACGATCTTGCCCTCCGTCATGGTCGAGCTCAGCGCCGGCATGAATATCTCCCGGACCTTGGCGCATGGCGACACTACACGGCGGGCCTTGCTGGCCGCTTTTCTGGCGGCCATGTGACCATGGCTCCTGGAGGGTGCTGCACCACACCAGACAGGCCGCACAAGAACAAACGCGGGAGGGGTGCTTCACTTGAAACGCTACAGCCAAGTGGCAAGTGGATGCTAATCGCGAAGACAATATCACGATGTTCGCGAATCATGATCCGTATGCTAACGGTCATTACCGTGACTACAGCCACCACCAGCACGGTCGTAAAATAAGGCCAGGTAGCAGGCACTAAGGATTCACCATATGAAGACAGGAACGAGGTCGTGAGCTCGATCTTAGAAGCAGACGACACCTGCTGTCCGCGCCACGGTGCCAGAGAGGCTGAGCAGGCCTGAACAGCAGAGCACGCCTCCATCTTGCCTTTGCCCTAATCCGGAGGGACAAATTCCAGCTTAGAGAAGGATTCACTAGCACCGCCGAACCAGGATCGAATGCTAGGTCTGAAGTGGGAAGACTGGTCACTCCCAAGGCCCAAGAGAGTGTAGTAGAGTAGACCAAATGTGAAATGTCGTCCAAACCAAATGTGCCAGGTCTGCCAAGGCAGGCACTGACAGGGACTCCAGTCAGTCACACTTCATGATGCCGGATCACCCACCCACACATCCACCCTTACCATCAGAGGCTGATCACGACGGATCAGATCAGACCAAAGCGGTGGTGGTAAGCCACCGTCTGGGCTGACAGTTGTTCCAAAGGTTTCGATGACGGATGGTGCAGCGAGATTGGGACCAACCAATTGATTTGACAAGATGGCATCCTGAGCCGAACGTTAGTGGTGGACAGGTCGCGGATGCCCTGGCAGCAAGTCATTGCAGGTCAGCGGGGACTTCAGGCACAAGACGTCAATCGAACTTCCACCCTGGAGTCGGTGACATGGACGTGTCACGTGGCAGCGCCACCTTATCCGAGATCTCCCTTCTGTGCTTTTCTGACGTGAAAGGTGTGAAGTGAATCGCACAAACCGCCAGGATTCGTACGGAACGAACTGCACGATTCAGTCGGAAGAACTCGTCTATTGGCACTTCTGGGTGATTTGAGGATGACATAACCTCGGACGGTAAAAGTGGCAACACATTGGTCTATTGGCCTATCGGCAATACAGTTAGCCTTCGTACTAGAAAATTATAAAAACTACACAACCTAAATCAACGTAGATCAAATGTTTGTATACAAATTCCTCCGTTATTGAAGACAACCACTACTCGGGACCTACAATAAAATCAGGGTCACTGAAACCCACCCCACTCGAAGTCGTCATCCTGCATTTGCTTGGAAGCTGTAGCATAGCCTCCAGCAGGAGCAGGGGCGGATTGGAAGCTGCCCCCCTGCCACGGATCTGCAGAGACAGGAGGACCCGAGGAGAAGGCATCAAACCCAGAACATGCACCGCCTCCTGCTACTGCTCCAGTTCCTCCAAACCCACCACCAGTAGCAGGTGCACTCCCCCCCATCAGCGCTGCTAACGGATCCACAGGAGCAGCAGCTGTGTGTGCAGCTGACGGAGCTGATGGTCCATCGTCAAAGGAAATCAAAGAGGCCTCAAACGAGGATTGTGAAGGCTTTGCATATGCAGCAGATGGGGCAGCAGCACCAGGTGGTTTCACAGGTGGGGGCACCAGTCCAGACACTGGCATTGGAGCAGGAGCAGGTGCTGCAGAGGAGATGGAGAATTTCTTCACAGGAACTGCTGCTGACTTTGGTGCCGGAGCCTCTCGCCCTTGCCCTCCCTTACCTCCGCTGGCAGCACTATCATCACCATCATCTTTCCAGTCGTCCCAGTCACCAAAGCCCTCACCGCCTTTGAGTGCACTGTCATCAAACTTAGCAAAACCTTTGCTACCGCCACCACCACCGCCGCCGCCGCCTGTTTTCTTCTCTTGTGTGGACTCGGAGCCACCATACCCGTTGCTGCTCGCACTGTAAGTGTACACATCACCACCACCATACCCACTGCTTCCCCTTCCTTCCGCCCCTCCCCCTCCTCGCCCACCACCACCACTACTACCACCCCCATCACCACCATAAGTATATGGACTTCCAATACCACCACCACCCATGCTCCTGCTGCTGCCCATTCCCCCAAAGCCTCCACCCCCACCAATGCCAGCCCCCCCTATCCCCCCTTCCACAGCCTCCACTGCCTTTTCAGTGACAGAGCGCATAAAGCCCCACGCCTTTTGCCCCAGCTCCGCCGTGCGGCTCGCCACCACTGTGGCAGTCTCCTTGGCCTTCTGGTCGTACCCGCCCTCCCGCATCTGATGGTGGGGGCACACAGCGGCGGTGTGAGGAAAGGGTGATCGGGCACAGGGGTGTACGGCCAGGTGAGGCATTGGGACTCGGGAGGGTTCCGGGGTTCGAGCAACTTGCTGCCTCCGAACCCAGTGGGCAACTTAGCTGAACGTGTCTAACGTTGGGGGGGGGGGGGGGGGGGGGGGGGGGGTGGAGGAGAGGGGGGGAAGGGAGAACCTTGCAGAGTACAATAATGTATGTGGGCGTTCGATACCTCCAGGGAGCCTCTGTGTGGCATCATCATGTCATCCCCCTTCCCCTGCCCCCTCACTACCATTCCAATACCACGCTGCGCCGTACCTTCTCTTGCACCACAGCCGCTGCAGAGCTGGCAGCGCCAATAGCAACCATGGAGATGGAGCGGAAACCCTGCCATAATGAGGGTGGCATGGGGAAGGGGAGTGGGAAGGGGGAGTGGGGAGGGGGAGTCGGGAGGGGCGAACGAGGGGGAGGGCAGGAGGTGGGTGGTTGGGTGGGAAAACGTCACAAACGGATCAAGGAGTCGTACGTAGAGAGAGGGCAGGATGGACCGTGGGGGGGATGCGGGATATGCATGAAGTATGAGAAAGGGCGCAAAAACAGCGGCAAGACAAGAGCTGGTGGTGGAGCGACGAGGTGTGAATCGAGAGAGGCGGTGGGAGCAAACGGTGTATGGCAAGGATGACGGGGGGCAGGGCAGTGAGTTGCAGGGCGCACAGCAGTCCGGTGTGGATTTGTTACTGGACTGGTAGACTTTGGTTGAGTTCGTTCGTTGCCCGTGAGTTAGCACAGGAGCAGAAACACCACCATTGAGTGATACAAGTCTAGTCTTCAGCCGCCTGAAAACCGGAGCTAGCACAGCAGCAGAAACACCACCACTGAGCTTACTTCCACAGGCCAGCGTGGGCCTTCAGCTGCCTCTAGTTCGATATCGCTGGCTCTGGTAGTTCAATCTGTGGTTCATTGGGTGGCAGTTCGCCTCGTTCATTAACTACATGCGGGCTAGCTTCCGTGTCCTTACTCCTCTCACTCGCTGCAACCCGCCCTAGTCCTGCACCCCACGCTGCCCTAGCAGCAGCAGTCACCCACAGCCAAATGATCCCACATCATCCCAACCTTCAACCCTCCCACTTCCCAAACACAACACGTTCCATAGGAGCCCTTCTCCCCAAGCCCCCCTCCCCACCCCCCACCCCCCTTCCTCCCCCCATCAGCGCTACCCCCCTTCCTCCCCCCATCAGCGCTACCCGCCCTCCTCCCCCCATCGGCGCTCACCTCAGAGACGGCCTTGATCGAGTCTTCCAGCACGTCGTCTCCCGCGCTCGCCTTGCTGGGCGGCCGGCTCGGCGTGCTGCCGAACCCCACGTACTTCCCGCCCTGGCTCGGCGGAACGCCCGCCGGCCGCCTCGAGTTTTCCGCCAGCTTGCGCGCAAAGAAGTTGTCCTTATCCGCCGCCGACGCCTCCAGCTGCTCCTTCGAATACATGTCCGACGCCGACCCCGTGTGCTGCCCCATCGCGCCTCCCCGCCTCCCGCCGCCTCCGCCTCCGCCACCCCCGCCGGTGCCTCTCCCGTCCCCCCCCGGCCTGGTTTCCCCCCCTCTTCCGCCCTCCCACATGCTGTTCTCCGACTGGTGCCGGCGCATGTTTCCTTGGCCCGCCGCCGACGCGTGCGCATTCGCGGGGCTGGAATGCGCCGATCCGTTTCCGCCGCTTCCGCCATTCCCCCAGTTTGCCCAGCTGTCGTTAGATCCGAACCCGCCTGCTGACGACGCAGCAGGAGGGGGAGCTCGTGCGGGTGGCGCAGCGCCGGCATATGAGTTAGGCGCTGGGCCAGTCCCTTCAGCCGCAGCCTGGATCTTCCCGCGATACGCCTCGGCGACGGGCGAGCTGTACTTAATCGCGATGTCGGTGTCCTTAGGCACGCCGTTCTGCGCGAAGAAATTGTTCATCGCGTCGTTACCACCGACCTCCATTTTTCGCAGTTGGATCTCGGACCAGTCGTCCATGGTCACCGATCGCACGAAGCTGAGATGCACGCCCAGGCCGCGGTGCCGACCGGAGCACTCGAGGCACATGAAGATGCCGTAGGAGACGGACGCCCATTGCGGGTTGCGCTGGCTGCAGTCCACGCAGACCTTGTTGCCCGGGTGGACTTGGATGGCTCGTAGCCGCGCTGCTGCTGCTGCTGAGACCATGCTGCGGAGTGATGATGGCGGATAAGGGTACGCCGAGTTTCGAGCGACAGACGACTAACCTATGTGTGCAGATTGTGGAAATCGGAGGTAAAACTGAGAACCTAGGTGAGCCAGGTGCAGCAATGTTGGTTGGTTGGTTGGTTGGTAGCCTAGGGATATGTTTGCTTTGGTTGGTGACAACAATGCGATGCGACACTCTCGAGACCCTAAACGTTCGTGGGGCTCCAGGTTCACACCGCATGGCAAATTTGCACTAACTGATCACAGGCACCAGAGGTTGGCATCACAACGAGGTTATGCTTCAAACGAGTACATGGGATGTTCTTCCGTTACAGTCCGCCAGGCGAATCGCTCCCATTCTTTCTGTTGCGGTTTGGTGGTGTGGTGATTGGTTTGGTGGCACCAGGCTCGACCGAACTGAACCGAAACCGCACCCCAGACCGCGAGCAGCCAGTCATTCCTTCTCGGTCAGTCTTGTCCGTTCCCGCCATAACCACACCTGTACGCTTCATAGATTCCTCATCTTACGAGTGTCACGAACCCAAACACTAATACCGGAACCTGTTGCTTACACTAAGACTAGCAGAATTACCCCCTTATGCACAGTAGGTGGGAGGGTAAAATGCATTGACTTGAAAACGACGGCTCCCTTGAAAGCCAATCTCCACAATGATTAAAGTGTTGTGGACATCTAGTAAATTCTCGACAACCTTGTGATTAGGTCAGCATGCTGACCATTACCATGGAAAATAATAAATACCCACTGCCAAGTCACGACAGAGGGGTAAGAGAAGACGGGAAAACATCACCACCTACGTACATCACATCCCGAAAAGCCATTGACATCCAGTCACACGGCATCAGGGCTCCGCCCGCTGTTCCCCGGTTCTTTCATGCCATCAATAATGGAAAATGCCTCATCCAGGTCCTGCGCATTGGCGTTGGCAATGTCGAGCTGTGCATCCACCTTCTCCGCCGCCCGGATCACCTGCGACGACCCGCCGCCCATTGCACTCAGCATGCTCTGCAGCTCACTGGCCACGTCGGCCATGCCGGGCCTGTGTGCCGTGCGCTTGGCTGTGCAGCGGATGGCGAGCTGTGTGATCTGCATGACGATGTCCTCCGGTGCCTCCATGCGTGGGTCCCTGAGCGCTGCAGTCTCGTTTCGCCCTATCTGCTCCTGCACCTGGAAGGTGTGGTGAGACGAGCGGATATGATAGCAATTAGGAAGCGAAGAAGGGAGGAGGGGAAAAGGTGGAGAGGTATGATTGAGGTGGCTGGATGACTGCGTGGATGGGGGAGAATCCGGCACAAATCTGGCAAAGCGCAGTTTTTTTGGAGCTTGCATGTTGGAGGACAGGCTGTGCGTGACAAGCCGGTGGATGCTGAGGCATTTGCCTGGCATGGCAAGCATATACAGCACGCATGAGTGAGGAAAACAGTCAGGCAAAGACATGCTGTATCTCGTTCACTTGCCAAGCTAAAACAATAAAAAAAAGGGTAAAAAACAAGAAAAAAACCCATCCACCCACCCATTGCGCGACATTCACGGATTTCCCCCTGTCGTAGAAGGTAACCTCACGGCCTGTTGTCACCACTAGCATGAGCACTCCAAAGCTGCACACAGAACGAAGACACGGGTTCAGGGCAACACAGAAAGAGGACGCAGATTCAGCCTATGTCAGGAATACAGCCGGCACAAAAACGCCTTGCAAAACAATGGACACTTGCAACTGCTTACGTACTGTTAACCGGAACAAATCCTCACCTGTACACATCAGCACCTGTACACGTCAGCACCTGTACAAAGCAGCACCTGTACAAAGCAGCACCTGTACAAAGCAGCACCTGTACACATCCGTGGCAGTGGTGGCCTTGTACGTGCGAGCATAGGCGGGGTCCACATAGCCCGGCGTTCCCATCACGCGCGTGGCATTCACCGTGGTGCCCTCGCCCATCCGCAGCAAACCAAAGTCTGCGATCTTGGGCTGCCATGGTGCAGCATTCACAGGATCAAAAGAAAGAGTTTTGGAGCCAAAAAGAAGTCCGATTCCCTCCCCCCCCCGCCCCCCCCTCTCTTTTTTCGAGGAAAAGAAACACGGAGACACCATCCAAGTTGCAAAAGACTGCTTAGTCGATACGAGGAGAGAGCGCAACCTACCTGCAGGTTGGTATCGAGCAGGATGTTGGCTGGCTTGATGTCGCGGTGCACCATGTTGAAGCTGTGCAGGTACTCAAAGCCGTGCGCCGCGCCCACGAGAATGTCCAGTCGCTGCTGCAGAGTGAGAGGAGTGGGTGTGTCTGTAGAGAAAAGCATGGACGGGTGTGATGCCATGAGAAGCGAGATGGAAAGCGCATGCGTGGATAAGAAGAGGGGACAAAACAAGGCCGGAGAGAGGAAATACGGACGGTAGTGACGGAGGTGAGGGCGAGAAGGAAGGGACACGCGTGAAACAAGCGAGCAACACGAGGGAAACAAGCGAGCAACGGGAGTGAAAGAAGCGAGCAACGGGAGTGGAACAAGCGAGCAACGGGAGCGAAACAAGCGAGCAACGGGAGTGGAACAAGCGAGCAACGGGAGCGAAACAAGCGAGCAACGGGAGTGAAAAAAGCGAGCAACGCAAGGGAAACAAGCGAGCAACGCGAGGGAAACAAGCGAGCAACGGGAGTGAAAGAAGCGAGCAGCGGGAGTGGAACAAGCGAGCAACGGGAGGGAAACAAGCGAGCAACACGAGGGAAACAAGCGAGCAACGGGAGTGGAACAAGCGAGCAACGGGAGCGACGGGAGTGAAAGAAGCGAGCAACGGGAGTGGAACAAGCGAGCAACGGGAGCGAAACAAGCGAGCAACGGGAGTGGAACAAGCGAGCAACGGGAGCGAAACAAGCGAGCAACGGGAGTGAAAAAAGCGAGCAACGCAAGGGAAACAAGCGAGCAACGCGAGGGAAACAAGCGAGCAACGGGAGTGAAAGAAGCGAGCAGCGGGAGTGGAACAAGCGAGCAACGGGAGGGAAACAAGCGAGCAACACGAGGGAAACAAGCGAGCAACGGGAGTGAAAGAAGCGAGCAACGGGAGTGGAACAAGCGAGCAACGGGAGCGAAACAAGCGAGCAACGGGAGTGGAACAAGCGAGCAACGGGAGCGAAACAAGCGAGCAACGGGAGTGAAACAAGTGAGCAACGCAAGGGAAACAAGCGAGCAACGCGAGGGAAACAAGCGAGCAACGGGAGTGAAAGAAGCGAGCAGCGGGAGTGGAACAAGCGAGCAACGGGAGGGAAACAAGCGAGCAACACGAGGGAAACAAGCGAGCAACGGGAGTGAAAGAAGCGAGCAACAGGAGCGAAACAAGCGAGCAACGGGAGCGAAACAAGCGAGCAACGGGAGTGGAACAAGCGAGCAACAGGAGCGAAACAAGCGAGCAACGGGAGTGGAACAAGCGAGCAACGCGAGGGAAACAAGCGAGCAACGAGAGTGAAAGAAGCGAGCAGCGGGAGTGGAACAAGCGAGCAACGGGAGCAAAACAAGCGAGCAACGGGAGTGGAACAAGCGAGCAACGGGAGCGAAACAAGCGAGCAACGGGAGCGAAACAAGCGAGCAACGGGAGTGAAACAAGCGAGCAACGCGAGGGAAACAAGCGAGCAACGGGAGTGAAAGAAGCGAGCAACGGGAGTGGAACAAGCGAGCAACGGGAGCGAAACAAGCGAGCAACGGGAGTGGAACAAGCGAGCAACGGGAGCGAAACAAGCGAGCAACGGGAGTGAAAAAAGCGAGCAACGCAAGGGAAACAAGCGAGCAACGCGAGGGAAACAAGCGAGCAACGGGAGTGAAAGAAGCGAGCAGCGGGAGTGGAACAAGCGAGCAACGGGAGCGAAACAAGCGAGCAACGGGAGTGGAACAAGCGAGCAACGGGAGCGAAACAAGCGAGCAACGGGAGTGAAAAAAGCGAGCAACGCAAGGGAAACAAGCGAGCAACGCGAGGGAAACAAGCGAGCAACGGGAGTGAAAGAAGCGAGCAGCGGGAGTGGAACAAGCGAGCAACGGGAGGGAAACAAGCGAGCAACACGAGGGAAACAAGCGAGCAACGGGAGTGAAAGAAGCGAGCAACGGGAGTGGAACAAGCGAGCAACGGGAGCGAAACAAGCGAGCAACGGGAGTGGAACAAGCGAGCAACGGGAGCGAAACAAGCGAGCAACGGGAGTGAAACAAGCGAGCAACGCAAGGGAAACAAGCGAGCAACGCGAGGGAAACAAGCGAGCAACGGGAGTGAAAGAAGCGAGCAGCGGGAGTGGAACAAGCGAGCAACGGGAGGGAAACAAGCGAGCAACACGAGGGAAACAAGCGAGCAACGGGAGTGAAAGAAGCGAGCAACAGGAGCGAAACAAGCGAGCAACGGGAGCGAAACAAGCGAGCAACGGGAGTGGAACAAGCGAGCAACAGGAGCGAAACAAGCGAGCAACGGGAGTGGAACAAGCGAGCAACGCGAGGGAAACAAGCGAGCAACGAGAGTGAAAGAAGCGAGCAGCGGGAGTGGAACAAGCGAGCAACGGGAGCAAAACAAGCGAGCAACGGGAGTGGAACAAGCGAGCAACGGGAGCGAAACAAGCGAGCAACGGGAGCGAAACAAGCGAGCAACGGTAGCGAAACAAGCGAGCAACGCGAGGGAAACAAGCGAGCAACGGGAGTGAAAGAAGCGAGCAACGGGAGTGGAACAAGCGAGCAACGGGAGCGAAACAAGCGAGCAACGGGAGTGGAACAAGCGAGCAACGGGAGCGAAACAAGCGAGCAACGGGAGTGAAAAAAGCGAGCAACGCAAGGGAAACAAGCGAGCAACGCGAGGGAAACAAGCGAGCAACGGGAGTGAAAGAAGCGAGCAGCGGGAGTGGAACAAGCGAGCAACGGGAGCGAAACAAGCGAGCAACGGGAGTGGAACAAGCGAGCAACGGGAGCGAAACAAGCGAGCAACGGGAGTGAAAAAAGCGAGCAACGCAAGGGAAACAAGCGAGCAACGCGAGGGAAACAAGCGAGCAACGGGAGTGAAAGAAGCGAGCAGCGGGAGTGGAACAAGCGAGCAACGGGAGGGAAACAAGCGAGCAACACGAGGGAAACAAGCGAGCAACGGGACTGAAAGAAGCGAGCAACGGGAGTGGAACAAGCGAGCAACGGGAGCGAAACAAGCGAGCAACGGGAGTGAAACAAGCGAGCAACGCAAGGGAAACAAGCGAGCAACGCGAGGGAAACAAGCGAGCAACGGGAGTGAAAGAAGCGAGCAGCGGGAGTGGAACAAGCGAGCAACGGGAGGGAAACAAGCGAGCAACGCGAGGGAAACAAGCGAGCAACGGGAGTGAAAGAAGCGAGCAGCGGGAGTGGAACAAGCGAGCAACGGGAGGGAAACAAGCGAGCAACACGAGGGAAACAAGCGAGCAACGGGACTGAAAGAAGCGAGCAACGGGAGTGGAACAAGCGAGCAACGGGAGCGAAACAAGCGAGCAACGGGAGTGAAACAAGCGAGCAACGCAAGGGAAACAAGCGAGCAACGCGAGGGAAACAAGCGAGCAACGGGAGTGAAAGAAGCGAGCAGCGGGAGTGGAACAAGCGAGCAACGGGAGGGAAACAAGCGAGCAACACGAGGGAAACAAGCGAGCAACGGGAGTGAAAGAAGCGAGCAACAGGAGCGAAACAAGCGAGCAACGGGAGCGAAACAAGCGAGCAACGGGAGTGGAACAAGCGAGCAACAGGAGCGAAACAAGCGAGCAACGGGAGTGGAACAAGCGAGCAACGCGAGGGAAACAAGCGAGCAACGAGAGTGAAAGAAGCGAGCAGCCGGAGTGGAACAAGCGAGCAACGGGAGCAAAACAAGCGAGCAACGGGAGTGGAACAAGCGAGCAACGGGAGCGAAACAAGCGAGCAACGGGAGCGAAACAAGCGAGCAACGGGAGCGAAACAAGCGAGCAACGCGAGGGAAACAAGCGAGCAACGGGAGTGAAAGAAGCGAGCAACGGGAGTGGAACAAGCGAGCAACGGGAGCGAAACAAGCGAGCAACGGGAGTGGAACAAGCGAGCAACGGGAGCGAAACAAGCGAGCAACGGGAGTGAAAAAAGCGAGCAACGCAAGGGAAACAAGCGAGCAACGCGAGGGAAACAAGCGAGCAACGGGAGTGAAAGAAGCGAGCAGCGGGAGTGGAACAAGCGAGCAACGGGAGGGAAACAAGCGAGCAACACGAGGGAAACAAGCGAGCAACGGGAGTGAAAGAAGCGAGCAACGGGAGTGGAACAAGCGAGCAACGGGAGCGAAACAAGCGAGCAACGGGAGTGGAACAAGCGAGCAACGGGAGCGAAACAAGCGAGCAACGGGAGTGAAACAAGCGAGCAACGCAAGGGAAACAAGCGAGCAACGCGAGGGAAACAAGCGAGCAACGGGAGTGAAAGAAGCGAGCAGCGGGAGTGGAACAAGCGAGCAACGGGAGGGAAACAAGCGAGCAACACGAGGGAAACAAGCGAGCAACGGGAGTGAAAGAAGCGAGCAACAGGAGCGAAACAAGCGAGCAACGGGAGCGAAACAAGCGAGCAACGGGAGTGGAACAAGCGAGCAACAGGAGCGAAACAAGCGAGCAACGGGAGTGGAACAAGCGAGCAACGCAAGGGAAACAAGCGAGCAACGAGAGTGAAAGAAGCGAGCAGCGGGAGTGGAACAAGCGAGCAACGGGAGCAAAACAAGCGAGCAACGGGAGTGGAACAAGCGAGCAACGGGAGCGAAACAAGCGAGCAACGGGAGCGAAACAAGCGAGCAACGGGAGCGAAACAAGCGAGCAACGCGAGGGAAACAAGCGAGCAACGGGAGTGAAAGAAGCGAGCAACGGGAGTGGAACAAGCGAGCAACGCGAGGGAAACAAGCGAGCAACGGGAGTGGAAGAAGCCAGCAGCGGGAGTGGAACAAGCGAGCAACGGGAGCGAAACAAGCGAGCAACGGGAGTGGAACAAGCGAGCAACGGGAGCGAAACAAGCGAGCAACGGGAGTGAAACAAACGAGAAACAGGAATGAAACACGCGGAGTCATGTGTACCTGGTGCCATCCTCTGCTCGAGGTCCCCATTGGGCACAAACTCGTAGATAAGGATCTGCTCCACATGCGCTGTCTGTGGATGCACGTCAATGCAGAAACCCAGCAGCCGCACCAGGTTCGGGTGGTGCTTCGTGGCCATCTGGGACACCTGGGGGGGTGGATGGGGGAAGGGAGGGGAGAGGGAAGGAGGAGAGGGCAGTGCAGAGAGGAGATGAGAGGAGGAGGGAGGAAGTGAGATCTGGAGGAAATGAGGGTTGAGGAAGAGGTAAGGGAGAAGCGGAGGGAACGGTCCTTGATTGGACAAGGATTGACGTTGCCAGTGGGAGGATCCTTTTCACAGTGCACCCAAATACCATAGCTCGCTTTCACTCCATAGCACACTGGCAGCACGATAACACACCCCTCCCCCACCAGCCCCCCAGACCAACCCCTCTGCCGGCTCACCTCGCGGTCAAAGTCGTTGGTGAGCAGCTTGGCGCGCTTCACAGCCCACAGCGTGCGCCCATCGTCCGGAGACACGCCCTTGTACACGTCGCCAAAGCCCCCCGACCCCAGCAGGTTGCCCTCCGCCCAGTTGCCTGTGGCCTGCTCCATATCGTCCAGGGAGTACTGCTGGCACATCGGCGGCACCTTGCTGTACTTGCGCATCAGACGGGCGGCGCGCGCTGGGGGCAGGGCAGGGGAATGAGGTGGGAAGAGAGGTAACATGGGAGTATAGTTTTGAGGCGCCTCAAAACTAGGGGGCAGGGGAATGAGGCGGGAAGAGAGGTAACATGGAGAAGAAGGGGCGGGCGGGCGAGGTGTGAGATGTGTTGTTGCCTGTGGCTTCCTCCATATCGTCCAGGGAGTACTGCTGCTGGCACACTGGCGGCACCTTGCTGTACTTGCGGATTAGACGAGAGGCGGGGCGCTGCAAGGGGAAAGGGTTGGGGGGGGAGGGAAGAAGGAGCAAGGGGGGAAGGGGTGATGCAGGGGCATGCGGAAACGATGGGGCAGAGGATGGGCTGGCAGAGCATGAGGCAGGCAAAGGAGGTGTGAGTGCGAGGTGGTGATGGTGGTGGTGGTGGTGGTGGTGGTGGTGGTGGTGGTGGTGGTGTTAGAGATAGGCTGCAATTCGGTTGGCACAATTTTGTGTGTTGACACTTTTTTGGTTTTAGGGATACTCATATTTGTTAGGTTGGGTGTAGCTATGTTTTCATCCCCAACCTATCCCAACCCAATCCATCCCAAATCCCCACGATTTGGGAGGATTCCCTTGGGATTCCCTCCGATTCTCCCTTATCCCTTCCCATCCTCTCCGATGCTCGGTACTTAAGGATGTATGCTCTTGCTCATTTTAATCAATCAAGTTCTCAGTTTCTGATAGGTGGTGGTGGTGGTGGTGGTGGCACGAGAACGACGGGGATTAGAGATGTCGAGAGAGGAAGAAAACGATCAGGAGGATGGCGCTTTAAGCGGCTACGGGCAGGAAAGGAGAACGAAAGCGTGCCGAGAGCCGTAAAAAGGGCAAAAAGCGAGGGGGGCTGGGGGTGGGGGGCAGGGGGCTGGGGGCAGGGAGGGGGGAGGGGGGGGTGGGTTGGGCACTGGTGGGGCATTGGACCTTACAGTTCTGCTTGTGGGGGACTGGTTGATTCCTGACGCGCCAGAACCAGTAAGCAGCAGCAGCGGTGAGGGCAAGGAGCAGCAGGCCCGCCCCCACAGCAATGCCGACGATGGCTCCTGTGGACAGGCCGGAGTCACTTGAGGGGGGAGAGGCGTCTGGTACGGTGGGAGGCGGTTGTGGGGATGGATGCGCGGTGCGAGGTGCATGCCAGGTGGAGAGTGAGTGGAGGGGGGAGGGAGGGAGGGAGGGCAAGAGAAAGGAGGGAAAGGATTGTTCAAGAGGAGGTGGAGGTGAGAGGAGACTGCGAGGCAGAGTGTGGTGGGGGGGGGGAAGGGGGGAAGGGGGGCAAGGGGAAAGGGTGAAGATGGAGATAATTATAAGAATCAAGGCGATGCATCCAAGAGGACGAGTTCCTGCATTTCAGGTTGCATCCACAGATTGCCTTTTGCTCTCAAATGTCAGGGAAACAGGGAAGCGGGGGGGGGGGGGAAGAGGGGAGGAGGACCGTGAATGAAAGCACCAACACAAAAGGGGACCTCACTAACGAAAGCACACACTCACTGGGAGTCGAGGGCGGAGGAGAGGGAGAAGGCGGGGGTGGGGGGGTGCAGGAGGTGCAGAAGCTGGTGCACGCGGAGCAGAAGGCGGAGGGGCGGGTCTGAGGCACCACACAGCTGGTGCCGGGGGGCGGGCATGCCAGGCCCGTGCCGTTGAAGTCGCTGCGGGCGGACAGGGAAGCGTCATGGAGAAGGGGAGGTGTGGAGGCAACAGTGATAGAACCGGGGGGGAAGTTGTGACATCAGCAGTTACATCAGCTCTCTGATTGCTCATGTCGCAGCTTCAGAATCGCCCCAGAGCCTCTGCACTGCACCTGGTCTCGAGACGCAAACCTCTTCCGATCAGTGCCACCTTACTCTACTCTAGTCACCCTCTGTAAGGTGCTTTCATGTTAATTGCCTAGATCACCTGAGACTAACCAGAACAGCGCTGTACCCTTCCCGTCCTCCACTAATACAAGAACCTCATCTCGGTTCGTTTGCCATCAGTCATGGTGAGGGATGGGGGGGGGAGGTCGAGGTGGGGAGGGTGGTGGTGGAGAAGCAGCGTGCAGCCAGCGGACCGCCTTTTCGCAAAAAGGCTGCACTCTGTTTCCCGTGCAGGCAGGCAGGCAGGCAGGCAGGCCACCACATTCGTTTATCGCAGTTTATCACAATCGTTCATCGCAGCCACATTGTGTCGAGCTTTGAAGTGAGTGCATGCAGGGCGGCAGGAGCTCACAGCTTAGTGAGAGCGGTGATGGACCCGAGAGTGGCAGGGAGGAGACCCGAGAGCCTGCTGCCTTGCACTCCCCTGAGGTGAGAGCGCGAAGGGAAGGGCGAGGAGAAGGGGGAGGTGAAGGGGGAGGAGAAGGGGGAGGAGAAGGGCAGGCAATGTGCATGGGTGCTAGCAAAAGACCACAAAACGCATCTCAACCATCATCTCAACAAGTCTGCGGCCACAACTACCCACCAAATGCAACCACCCGACCGACAAGAGCAATGAGCAAGGGAGGAATGAGACGGCCGCTACAGGAAGGAATGCCCTGCGTGCCCTTCCAGCGACCAGCAGAGCTCGATGCTTACAGGTATGCGAGCTGGGTGAGACCGCCAAGGGTGGAAGGCATGGTGCTACCCACCATCGTGTTGCTCAGATCCCTGCCGTACCGTGCCATGCCATGCCATGCCATACCATGCCATGCCGTGCCGTGCCATGCCATGCCGTGCCATGCCATACCATGCCATGCCGTGCCATGCCATGCCATGGGGTGGAAATGCCATGCCATGCGACGTGAATGTCATGCCATAGCGGGTGCAGAGCATCACATATGGGGGGGTGCATGCCTGGAAGAATGCGCACTTGACCGAGCATGGCAAGCCAGCGATCCACAGCGTAGCATGTGGCTCGCAATCAATGCACGCTCAATCGAACTGTACCCAGCATGTGAGGGATGAGCCTACTGCCAATGACAGCACGCCCTGACCACAGGTTGACCGGTGGAGACTCATAGGAATGTAAAGACCCTGTGCTATCTTCCTCAGCATAAAAGAGGTGGTGAGATGTGCTGCAATGGAATTTGAGGCGCCTCGAAGACTGTACCGTAAAGCGCCTGGAACAGGGCCTCACAGGGATGTGAGAGTGGTGAGGCTGCCCAGTGCGTCGGGTATGGAGTTGGTGAAGGAGTTTGCAGACAGGTCGCTGGTGGGGAGGAGAGTGGAGGGGGAGAGGAAGGGGTGTGGAGAAGTGGTGAACAGAGTGCAAGGGCGAGAGGTGAAGGTGCTCGCAATCAGCGGCAAGCAACGGGCGAAATGGGCGGCCTGTGATGCCTGGCAATGGCATGGTGTGACATGACATGGCATGGCATGGCATGGCATGGCATGGCATGGCATCATGGCTCATTGCAGAGGGGGCTCACAGGGTGCAGAGGGGGCTCACAAGGTGCAGAGGGGGCTCACAGAGTGCAGAGGGGCTCACAGGGTGCAGAGGGGCTCACAGGGTGCAGAGGGGGCTCACAGGGTGCAGAGGGGGCTCACAGAGTGCAGAGGGGCTCACAGGGTGCAGAGGGGCTCACAGGTTGCAGAGGGGGCTCACAGAGTGCAGAGGCCGTCAAGGCCAGTGATAGACGTCGGGAGGGATCCAGACAAGATGTTGTCAGATAGGTCCCTGCGGCACCATGCACATGCACACACATGCATGGAAATGTATGTATGGACATGGGAGCACATTGGTGCACATGCATGGGCATCAGATAGATGGGAAAAAGGAAGTCTGGTGCAAAACGGCAGAAAGAAAAAGAGGGAGAGAAGGAAATACAGGGAGGTGGGGGTACCACCAGGGGTTTGATCAGCGGGTGCATGAGGGGTGGTTCTTGTGAAGATCGAAGGGGCACACAGTGAGAAAAGAGTGGAAAAGATGTGGCACATGGGGTGAACATGATTTCAGACCTGGTGGATGGTGCATATTCACATGGTATCATGGTGACGTAGTGACATGGTGATATGATGTCATCATAGTGACGTGTGTCATCATATTGACATGGTATCATCATAGTGACGTGGTGTCATCATAGTGACGTGGTGTCATCATAGTGACATGGTGTCATCATAGTGACATGGTGTTATCATAGTGACGTGGTGTCATCATAGTGACAAGGTGTCATCATAGTGACGCATAGTGACATGGTGTCATCATAGTGACATGGTGTCATCATGGTGACATGGTGTCATCATAGTGACATGGCGTCATCATAGTGACATGGTGTCATCATAGTGACATGGTGTCATCATGGTGACATGGTGTCATCATAGTGACATGGCGTCATCATAGTGACATGGCGTCATCATAGTGACATGGCGTCATCATAGTGACATGGCGTCATCATAATGACATGGCACGTACAGGTGGAGTAGAGCAGGGAGAGTCCAAAGAGAGGAAGGTATGGAACCGGAGAGCTGATTAATGCCCAGGTCCCTGCTCATGTTCAGACACATGCATGTTGTTGCATGTTGCAAGCATGCACCATGCAGCATGCAGCAGCAAGATGTGAGGACCAGAACATGCATTAGGGGAGATGTGCACGAGAAGACACAGGGAGGTGTGGGACGAGCACGGGTACGAGCGACGAGCAGTATGCGAAAATACGCATGCAACCATGGCATAGATATCCGAATGCGGGATATGGTGACTGAATGGAATGCTGATCTGGCATGGCATGTTCATCTACATGTCCTGGGAAGGCTTGTTGAGATGTGCGTCAAAAGAGGCATACAGGATGGTGAGGGGGGAGATGAGTCAAAGGAGGCGTACAGGAGGGTGAGGGAGGAGAGGTTGCCGATAAAGGAAGGCAGGTGGCCAGAAAACAAGTTGCTCTTCAGGCTCCTGGGGGTGCGTGGAGGCAGGCGGGATGGCTGCAACGTGGGATGGCAACGAGGTGGGACGGCAACGACGTGGGATGGCAACAACGTGGGATGGCAACAACGTGGGATGGCAACAACGTGGGATGGCAACAACGTGGGATGGCAACAACGTGGGATGGCAAGAGCGTGCGATGGCATCAACAGTTGATGGCATCCTTTTTGAGGCGCCTCAAAAACAGTTGATGGCATCCTCTGGCAGAGGCGGAAGAGGATGCAGGAAAAGCGGGGCCCTTACAGGTAGCTGAGTTGTGTGAGAGAAGCAAAGGCTGAGGGGAAGGACCCAGACAGCTGGTTGCCTTCCAGGTCACTGCAGGGAGGTAGGTGTGGGATGATGGGGGGAGATGGGGGAAGACTGGGGGAAGAATGTGCGAAGAATGGGGAAAGATTGGGGAAAGAATGGGGAAGGGGGGACACCACACTCGCACACATTTACACACATACGCAAGCATACACACATGCGCAAGCATACACACATGCATACACACATGGCCCTTGAGTGCCCTGGCTCACACATAGTCGAGGTTGGAGAGGCGGTGAAAGGAGGAGGGGATGGCGCCTGAAAAGGAGTTGTTGGCCAAGACGCTGCAGCACGGACGCACAGGCGAGGGGATGGGTGATAAATGGAGGGAAGGGGTGGAGGGAGAATGGAGGGGAAGGAAGCCCGGAGAAATGGAGGGAAGGGATGGGGGAACAATGAAGGGGAGGCGCGGGGAGATATTTAGGGGAAAGGACGGGGGAGCGAGGGAGGAGCAAGGGAGGGACAAGTGGAAGAGACTCGAGGGGGGAAGGGAAGATGTTACACACGAGGCAGCAGGGAACATGGGACGCGGTGGGGCATGCCGCATGCGAGACTAGGGTGAGTGGGTGCAAGAGGCATGCAATGGGCGCACTGCCCCGACACGACACGAGCTTGCATGAGCGAACTGACAGGATGCTCAGCTGAGGAAGGTTGGCCAAAGAATCGTGTATGGTGCCAGATAGACCATTGTAGTTCAGAACCCTGTGGGGGGGACACGGCACAATCACGTGCAGGTGCAGCATGAATGCACGTACGCATGTATGCACGTACGCATGTATGCATGAACGCATGTATGCATGTACGCATGTAGGCTTGTACACATGTACGCATGTATGCATGTACGCATGTACGCATGTATGCATGCACGCATGTAAGCATGTATGCATGCACGCATGTAAGCATGTATGCATGCACGCATGTGGATGCAGACAGGACAATGCACACCACCAACAGTGGAGGACGGACCTTGTACACTGAAAGCAACGGAATGGAACTGCAAGAGACCTCTTGGTCGTAGGTCATTTCAAAACAACGCATGCCCTGCCCTGCCTTGCCCTGCCCTTCCCCGACATGGATCAACATGGAGCCACGGAAGGCAAGGCTAAGGGAGGGGAGGGGGACGAGAATAGAGGGGGATGAGGGGGTAAAAGGGGGTGGATTGAGGGAAGGTTGGAGGCCGTACAGCATTTGGAGCTTGGAGAGGTTGCTAAGAGACGGTGGTAGCGGCCCCATCAGCTTATTCGTGTTGAGAAGGCTGGCAGGCAGGCACAGCGAGGAGGAATGAGAGGGGGGTAAGGTGCGAGGGGGAGTGAGACGCGAGGGGGGTGAGATGCGAGGGGGGTGAGAGCTGGGTAGCCAGTTAGAGCAGCGCTGACATTTATTTAGTCGAGGCTAATGAGGCTGTTAATACGAGAGGAACCAAAACAGCACTATCTGCACTGTACTGACAGGTATTGGAGGTTGACGAGCGAGCCAAGGGAGGTGGGGATGGAGCCTGAGAGGCGGTTGATGCCGATGTCTCTGGCCATGGGATGGGGTGCAGCAGAGACGTGGCAGGACGTGAACAGAGGAGGGAGGAAAATCAGTGAAGCCTCCAATCAGGAAAAGGCGGAAAGACTGCAGAACGGAGCAAGCAGAAAGAAAGGATGTGGGGCACATATGTGGGGAAGGAAGGGGCTAACATGGCAGGTGAGGGACTAACAAGGGGTTGAGGCGCTAACAAGGAGGAGAGGGATGTGATGGTGGCGATGGAGGCTGGGATTGTGCCGTTGAGAAGGTTGGAGCTCAGATCACTGCATGCACACAGACAGGATGGAGATGTGGGGCATGGCGTGGAGATAGGGGGCATGGCATGGAGATAGGGGGCATGGCGTGGAGATAGGGGGCATCGCGTGGAGATAAGGGGCATGGCGTGGAGATAGGGGGCATGGCGTGGAGATAGGGGGCATGGCGTGGAGGCGATGAGGGATATGGCAGTGATACAGCTAGTGAAGACATGGTGGACCGTGGATGGATGATGACACACCCTGTCACTGGGAATGTGCATGCGTCGATACAGGTAGCAGGCGGCCCACACACACATGCGATGAGGTGTATACGAACATGCTAGTGAGCATCTGAAGCTGGCCGAAAGCTGAAGGTATACTCCCTGTGAGCTCGTTGGTGGTGAGTGACCTGCACATGGCACACCACACGCGTCACGCACGTCACGCGTGCAGATCACACAGGTACTCATACATACACACACACACAGAAACACACACACACAGAAACACACACACGCACGCATGCACGCGCGCGCGCGCGCACACACACACACATGGATGCACTCACGGATGCACACATACGGGTGTATGGATGGAACACGGGAGCAGGTGAAGGTGTGAGAACACAAGAGGCGGGCAGGCTCACAGGGTGTTGAGTTGTCGGAGGTTAGCGAGCGATGAGGGGATGGAGCCCGTCATGCCGTTGTAGGATAACGACCTGCCCATGCAGCACAGCACACACCACACACACACACCCACACATACACGGCACATGCACGATGCGTGGCAGTTAGAAGGCAAGTTGAGCCGAGCCAACACCCTCTTTTCATTGCCTTGCCCTAAACACCACCATCACCATCACCATCACCATCACCATGCTGCATTTGGTTTGGTTGCCTCATATACCTCCTCCCCCGCATGCATCCCTCGATCCCCCTCCTCCCCCCCCTCTTCAGCACCCCCTTCCTCCGCCTCCGCCCCTCCTCCCACCCTCCCTCTCTGCCACCTTCCTTCTCTTACCCTCCACTCCTCTCCCCCCCCCCCCAACCCCTCCCCCTTCCCCTCTCGGTCCTCTCACAGCAGCGTGAGGCGAGTGAGGTTGCTGAGGGCATCGGGAATGGACCCCAGGGACGCCCCATCGTCTCCGTAGTGCTCCAAAGTCCTGCGCGCGCGCACACAAGGGGGAGGGCGGGGAGGGGAGGGAGGGGAGGGAGGCGAGGGAGGGGAGGGAAGGGAGAGAAGGGAGGGAGGGGAGGGAGTTGAGGGGAGGGGAGGGGGGGGAGAGAGGGCAGGGAGGGCAGGGGGGGGAGGGAGGGGAGAGAGGGAGTTGGTGGACGGGAAAAGGTGAGGCTTGGAAAGGGGAAATACATGCTTCAGCATGGCATGGATGGCATAACATGGCATGGATGGCATAACATGGCATGATATCAAATGACATCACATGGAATCATCGCACCCCACCCATGGCCTCACATGGCTAAGATCATGCCATCCGAGTCGCACGACAACTGAAAAGCATCCGCGCATTCCCCCCCTGCCGTCCATCCGGGGAACGTTGCGCCCCACTGCCGCTGGCACTCCGCCAGCACCGCCGCTGCGGGGAACGGGGGAGACAGGGCCCCGTGAGTTTCGCGGCAGAAGGGGCGTGGGGAGGGACAGCGTTAGGGACGTGTGGTGGGGGATGCAGTGGGGGCGTGTTGGGGGGGTTGCGGGTGCACTGTGAATGAACGCACTACAAGGTTTGCGAGAGCGAGCTCGCCTTGCTTATCGCAGTCGCGGCACTAGCAAGCAACACACTGGGACTTCTGCGGGAGAACGAGCTGACTTTTGAGTCGACTCAAAAGGAACATCGTAGTTGCGGCACTAGCAACACACTGGGAATTCCCCGGGAGAAATGCGGGACACGCGGAAAGCATGCGGGGAAAGGCAGGGAGGTGAAGGTAGTACGTGGGGGGAGGTATGCGGGATAATGCGTCTGGGGAAGGCGCTACCTTGGGACGGTGCCAACGTCTGGGCGATGACAGCAGGTGCGAAGCAGGAGAAGGAGGCTAACAGGCATACGGTTAAGACTGGAGTTAAGAACCGATACTGCCTACTACTACGGCATTGAAGATCGTAACTGTTGCAACTGTAACGGGATGTGTTAGTATTGAAGCGGTGATAACTGAAAGGTCCGGCCATTTCTAAGAGGTATCGCCGTGTCGCCATCAAAGCTTGCGATCTAGGGACCGTCCTCTCTAGAATGCTCTAACCACGCACTCGGCTCTTCTAGGCTCATGCCTTTCTGGTGTCAGGGTAGGTAATTAATGAGGTTATTATTACAACACGCAACGAATCGCGCGAAACATCATGGTCGGTGCACGAAAAGTCCGACTTATGTCGTTGCCGCCTTCCTAAAACGATTTGGAAATGATTAACTTTGAAATTTCAGCTGCCTCCTATGACTCCGTTTGCACGTAAATGCTACGTCAGATTCGAACGGAGTTCGAGACAGCCATAAAAAAAGGGGGGAGGCGTTCTGGAGTTCTCAGAGAGGCTACCTGTGTTGAGTAGGCAGGCTATTCGAAGGGCATGACATGAGGCACAGGTTCTGTATGCGGGTGTGGGATGAGCATGGTGTGTACTGTACGGCCGGCGATGCGGGGGTGGAGCAGGCTGGGCAGCACAGTGGGCAATGGCGGGAAAACCTCGGACCTCCACGGCACGAGACGGAGTAAGTAGTGCAGGTCCATATACACTACAGTACTTACGTTATCCTATTTAGCAACCATAAAACAAATGCACGAGAAATCAACAAAACATACTTCTAACGGAATTTCTTTCTGAAATTGCAAGTGCAGTAGGCTCTTAGTTGGCTTCAATTCCCCTTCGACAAACAGAAAAGACAAGTGCTATCTTCACCATGTTTATCAGGGCTTTTTCCGAGTTTCCACCATAAGCCATTTCTACCACAAACGACAGCAATTCATTGGGCCACACACTCTCCACCTAAATTCAAAACATGGGACTAAGTTTCGATATACTTCTCACCTCGCTGAGCTTTCGATGCAAAAAAGAAGTGTAGAAACATGCCCATTTGCAGAGCCAACAGCAGTGCTACCACCAAAATCTCTAACGGATTACTTGCCACTTGACAGCCCACTGCTGGAACACATTCCCTGGGCGCGAGCAAGCTCCACATCGAAATCAATCCCAGCAGACGTAGACTCCAGCTCCCGATCGATCTTCTCAGCCATCCGGTTGGACTCCGCCCCCAAAAACTCGTCCTTCATGACCAATAGATCACCCAATATCCGGCTCATAGAGGGCCGAGCGGCAGTGGGCATGGCCGTGCAGCTGATGGCCAGCTTGGCCATGCGCAGCACCAAATCATCTGGCGCCTGCAGAAGGGGGTCCTTGAAGGCTGCCACGTCTCCAGCCGCCACCAGAGGAGCCACCTGAGGCCAGGAGGAAGAGGATACGATAGTGGATTAACCATATGATTTCTTCTATACATTCCCATCGAAGCACGAAAGGGAATGGCATCCAAGCAACTAATCTGGGCAGGTTAAGGTTAAGCGACTTCATCTAATGAAGATGGAAAGGTAAGTTCACTGTGGTTCAAATGAGGCCAAAGGGCTCACCCAAGTTTTGAGGTTGTGTTGATCAGAGTCCACCATGTAGATGGCTTTGCGGGCTGTAATGACCGTCAGCATCACGACTCCAAAGCTGCAATACGCGAAAGATGTCACACAGAGGATAAAACCACAACAGAAAAAACCGAGGATAAGATGTGCAAGAATATGGGTAGTGTGCATGGACATGAATGGGAAGATGAAAAAAAAACCACAACTTTCTTCATTCGATACAGATCATAATGCATGTGTGCACATGATATTGTCCTGGATTAAGCAAGCACTCTTGCATGTATCATCCACTCATAAACACCACACCTCTGCACATCACCCATACCTGTGCACATCAGCCATGGGGGTGGCCTTCTGTGACTTGAAGTAAGCGGGGTCCACATAGCCTGGTGTTCCCATCACTCGCGTAGCAATCACGGATGTGCCCTCGCCCATCCTCACCAGTCCAAAGTCTGCAATCTTGGCCTGCAGAAGAAATGCACATGCAAGTATTAGGCAGTAGGCACATCGAGATACAGCAGCATCAGAATCCATCAGCAAGATATGGCATGGTGCCGATTCCGCTTGTTTCTGATACGATGCGTCTCCACCAGACCAGAGCACGAACTCAAGGACATGCGATCAAACATGCTAATCCAGTGTTGCCTGGGCAATGCCGCACACTCCTTGCATTCTGACATACTCGTGCGTACCTGCATCGTGTCGTCAAGAAGCACATTGGCTGGCTTGATGTCGCGGTGCACGATGCCAAAGCCATGCAGGTACTGCAGCCCCTGAGCCATGCCGATCATCACATCCACGCGCTGCCTTATTGTCAGCTGCTTGGGGGCATCTGAGGCAAGTCAAAAGAGGAAAGAGGAGCAGTTGACAGGAACCCCAAACCCTCCCCGAAATGTTCAGGTAACAGGACCGAAGTGATTTACAAAGAGTAATAGCTAGAGAATGAAGAACTAACAGGAGCACAGTGGAAAAGTGTGCATGGGCAACAAGGCAGAGAAAATTAGAGAGTATCTTACGCGGTCCAATCCACCTCTCAAGGTCGCCATTGGCCATGAACTCGTAGATGACAATCTGCTCGATGCGCTCCGTTGTGTGGTTCATGTCAAAGCAGTACCCCAGCAGCCGCACCAGGTTGGGGTGGTTCTTTGTCGCCATCTCATTCACCTGCCACGAAGTCAAAAGTAGGATTGCTCTCAACAGGGGCGCGGAGCTGAAGATGTTTGCCTAGAATTCGGATGGACACATGTCAACCTAATGGAAGGCGAGAGATACAAGCCAAAAGAACAACTAACTTAATTATTGACTAAATCAAGGAAACATGATAACATGCGTTGAGTTTTTTCCTCTCTAACATCCCTATCAATGCTGAGTTTTTAAATTGCATTCGTACCTCGCGTTTGAAGTCGTTAGTCAGGATCTTGGCTCGTTTGACGGCCCATATTTCAGAGGGGCATTCGGGGTTGGCGCCCTTGTACACATCCCCAAAGCTGCCGCTGCCAATGCGGTTCGCCTCGGCCCACTCGTTCGTGGCCGCAGCAACCTCCCCCAGCGAGTACTGCCGGCACACCTGCGGCCGCGCCTCTGCCGTCGCAGCTGATGCTGCTACTTCTGTTTTTATCGCTGCTGCTGCTGCTGCCGCTGCCACTGCTGCCGCCGCTGCTGCTTCCGCTGCCCCTGCGTTGGGCTCTTTGTCAGGATCAGCAGGTGCTGCTCCTGCCTTTCCTCCTTCCACGTCTTCCTCATCCTTGCTCGCTTGACCCTCCTTATGTGAGTTCTTCTTCCTGATGTAGTCGACACACCACGCGAGAATGAGCGCAACAATGAGAGCACAGATGCTGCCCACGACAATGCCGGTTATGGCATCTGTCGACAGATTGCTGCTGCTGCTGCTGCCGCTGCCGGTGCTGCCGCCGCCGCTGTGGCTGCTGCTGCTGCTGCTGCTGCTGGAGGACAGAGGGTACGGAGAAAGCGCCGGAGGTGTGCTGCTTGACACTGTGAGTGGTGGCATGAGTGACAGAAGAGTTTAAGGAACAGTTGGGAAATGAGGGGAAGGAAGCCGGGCACATGAGACTTGACGCATGGTGGGGGCATTGACGGAGAGCAGCACATACATGACGAGACCATACAAACGGGGGTAGGGACAGGCGGAAGACCCAACAAGTCGGAGCACCACCCGTGTGAAATGATCCGCGTGGTGTGGTATCTTAGGGGCCTCAGAGACGTGGGTTTGGGCGGGGGGGGGAAGGGGGGAAGAACTGGGATTGAGCTCACTGTAGGAGGGACTGCAGTTGGCGCAGAAGGTAGAGCATGCGTGACAGAAGGCTGAGGTGGAGAATTGAGTGACGATGCACGGCCCAGTTTCAGCGCAGGAAAGATTGTTGCCTGTAAAGTCCCTGCAAAAGGGCACAGAGCACAACAACACAAGTGGGTGGGAGATAGTAATATGCCAAGGCTGGAGGGCAGAGGATAGTGTGTTCAGCATAGGGGGCAGAGGGGAGGGCTAAAGTGAGTAGTCTGAAGACCGGATTAAACTCTGGCGGGCCATGGAGGGTTCGGACGGTTTGCTACATGATACCCTCTAAGGGCCTTCAACGAAAGGGTGTAAGTTAAGGGGCAGGGGAAATGAAACCGCCCTCTCCCTGACAGCCAGGCTTCTTTCGCCTCCCACCCCCCCCCCTCCCCCCCAACCCCATTATCCCCAATCTACTCGTCTTTAGCCGTTTTCATCCCTCCCGCCGCGTTCCTTGCTGTAAGCGTGCGTACCATTTAATGAGAGAGGTGAGTGCGCCCATGACTGCTGGCAGCGTGCCAGTGAACTTATTGTAGCTCAGGTCGCTGGAGAGTGGTGCGCAAGGGAGGAGATTCAGAGCGACCAGTGGAGAAGTAGGGGGGATGAGGAAGAGAAACTGAGACAGGCAGAGGTAGGAACGGGGGGTGGGTGGGGGAGAGAGGGGGGGGGGGTGGGTAGCAGCATTTCAAGCAGCAAACATTCACACATGATCACATTCCACGACTCTCAATGGAATCAAAATGAGTACATCGTAACGGGAGGCAAGAGGATAAGGAAGCTTTGGGTGCGTACAGGTTGGTGAGGGACGCGAGGTTGCTGATGGCGAAGGGGATGGAGCAGGAGAGCCCTTGGTAAGATAAGTTCCTGTTGGACTTGGGGCGATAGTTTCTGGCTATTTGCTAGGTCCCCAAGAATGCAGTGGAACATCCAAACAGGATCTGAGAAGTGTAGGAGAGCTGGGTGCTCTTCAGCTTCAGAGTTCAAACAGTGAACTGCGCTCACAAAAAGTGGTTACAGACAAAAACAGAAGAACATATAAGCATGCGGAAATGTAAAGGGCGACTCGTGTAACGCGTCGCGTGCGTTTCGTTCGAATCTTGGCCGGAACCGATTTCTGTAACTGACACTGTCGGTGAAACCGACCCTGTGACATTCCGCCGAATACGACCTAAGTTTGGTTGGAAATTTCTGGCTGAACTGAACTCTCTCGACGTTCTCTCTTCCCTGGTTCCTCCGTCCATCCGTTTTTTCTCCATCTTCCAACCCTAATCTTACCCTTACGTTCTACCGTCCCTTAGATCTCAACCAACTTAGATCTGTCCTAGTATTCCGCCAAAAACTTCGCCTTATGACCGACTTTCGTGTGCCAACGTCGGTGCAGCGGCGAACCACTCTTACATTCTCCCCTGTGGTTTGCCGCCTGCAAACCTTAGATCCACGAACCTTTTTAACCCAGTCAACTTCTCCTGGTGCTCTCTCTTTATACTTCCTTATTTCTGTCCATCACTCCCCTGCAAGTCCGCCAAGGTACGGATCCCAATTAAATACTTGCAATGCTCGAAATTTGCCGTTGGAAGCACCTTCGTGAGGAAATCGGCAGCTTGTTTTTCTGTCAGTACAAACTCAAAATTAAACGTCTTTTCTGCAGTTGATCTCGCAGCCAGTGATATTTGATGTCCATGTGCTTCGTCCGCCCGTGCCAGTTGTCGTTTCTAGCCAAGGCTATGGCAGATTTGCTGTCAGTCCTTATCACGGTCGGTCCTTGCACTGGTATCTCGAGCTCCTGCATTAGTCGCCGCAGCCATACCCCTTCTTGGCAAGCGTGGAATAATGCCATGTATTCTGTCTCTGCACTTGAGAGTGCGATATCATTCAGCTTCTTTCCTTGCCATGTAATTGCTGTCCCGCCGAGTAGATAGACGTATCCGTATGCACCTTTGCGTGTTTCTTTGTCTGATGCGTGTGATGCATCCGCATAACCCATTAATTCCAGGGTTTCTTCTCCGCCTTCGTACATCAATCCCTCTTCGTCTCGCTGTTGCAGGTACTCAATCGTTCGCTGCATCTCCTTCCATTTCCGGCCTTCGGGTTGGAGGACGTTAAGAAGCTAGCAGCGTGGGCGACGTCAACCCGGGTGCACGACACAGGATACATCACTGAGCCCACCCGCTGTTGGTAAGCTTTCAGTGCTTGCTCTCTGCTGCCCCATGTCTGAAGTTCTACGTCAGTGTCTACTTCCTTCCCTGCTTGGCTGCTGAGAGGCGTCGCTACTACCTTCGTGTAGCCCAAGGTCCCGAATTTCTGCTGCAGCCGTTGTATGTACTTCTTCTGATATAGGAACAGCCGTCTTCCCTCTCTGTCACGCTCCAGGTTCATCCCAAGGAACAGCGTGGCCCTGGGGAGTTGCTTCACCTGGAAGACAGCATTAAGTTGAGTGCACACTTCCTCCACTTTGTCCTCGAGTGCACCAGCGACAAGAATGTCGTCAACGTAAAGGAGGAGATAGATTTTCTCCCTTCCTTCACCTTTCCAGAACAAAGCCCTGTCGCATGTACTTTTCTGAAAACCTCCTTCCATCAGCCTTGCTTCCATGGTCTTATACCATTCGTGAGGGCTTTGTTTGAGCCCGTAAAGAGACTTGAGTAGCTTGCATTTTCTCCTTGTGCCGTCGTCATAGCCCAAGGGCTGGTCCATGTAGATATCTTCTTGCAGTGGCGTGTAGAGGTAAGCATTCTTGATGTTTAGCTGGATCATGAAATAGTTCCTTGCAGCGACCACCTTGAAAAGTGTCCTGGCTGTGGTTAACTTGCTGACAGGTGCGTATGTCTCATTGTAGTCAAGTCCTTCCATTTGCGTGTAGCCTTTTGCCACCAACCTTGCTTTGAATCGCTCCAGCTGTCCGAGGTCTGTTGTTTTTATCTTGAAAATCCATTTGACGCCGACTGTACGCCTCCCTTCAGGCATTTGTGCAAGCTTCCACGTCCCTCTTTCAGCTAAAGTGTCTAACTCCTCTTGAATGGCCGCTTTCCACGGCTCATTTTGAGGGCCGGACAATGCTTCCTCAATAGTCATGGGCTCATGAGATAGTTTGTACTTTTCCCTCATCGTTTTGGAGATGAGCGCTGTTGTCGTGGTGGCGAGTAGCAGATGCGTGTGGACATCCTTGCAGCACGTCAATAGAAGAAGTGCATATTTTGGATTCGGCTTCTTAGTCCGCTTCCCTCTGCCCAACTCGTCCCGAATGACTGATGCCTCACTTGCGCTATTGTCTGCTACCCCTCCTCCTTTCTCCATTGTCGTTTCCTCATCCTCTTTTCCAATCAGGATTGCGCCATCCTCTAGCAATGCATCAATCTCTTCTGCCCCTTTGTCATAGCGGCTGGTTTCAAACAGCTCCCATGGATCTCTGATTCCTTTGTTGTTCGCTTGGTACTTGTCATTCTCTGCTTCATTCCCTTGCTGTCCAGTGTCTTCCTTAGCTGCCTCCACTTTTAATGGTGTAGATTCAGGCTCCGCGTCATTGTCTTCGAAGGTAGGTGTTGTCTCACGTGGCTCCCACTCCCAATCCATCATCATGTGAGGCTGGTCATCATTATCCAGTTCCTCGTCTTCGCTGGCTGTGCCCAATCCTTCATTGTTGTTGTTGTCCAGCAGTTCTTCCACTCGTTGGGGTGTAACGGGCACTGTTTCTGTAGTTGCTGTCTTGTTTTGTCCCTTCCAATCCACATAATTGAGGTCTTCGTAGAAAACAGCGTCTCTGGTTGCCGTTACTACTCCCGTCCTTGCGTCTTTGATTATCCACCCTTTGCTCTCCGGGCATATGCCCAAGTGAACACCCCAGTGGGCCCTTGGCAGAAGCTTGTGTTCAGCTCCTGCTGGTGGTTTGTACTGCGTCATACAGCCCCATACTCGAAGAAATTCCAGGTTCGGCTTTCTTTTGTAGAATGCCTCATGAGGAGTCGTGCTTGCAGCAAGTCCTTTCGTTGGTAGGCGATTTTTCAGCCAGCATGCCCTGCCCAAGGCATCCCCCCAGTATGCCAAGGGCAGTTTGCTTTCCGCCATCATAGTCCTTACTCTATCAAGGAGTGTCCGATTCACCCTTTCCGCAACACTGTTGTGCTGTGGGGTATAAGGTATTGTTCGCTGCCGCCGGATCCCTTTGGCTTTCAAGTAGTCAGTGAAGTCCTTATTGATGAACTCCCTTCCATTGTCAGTTCGGAGAACTTTCAGCAGTTTGCCACTTTGTCGTTCAGCTTCCGCCAACCACTCAATGAAACTCGGGAACACGTGAGTCTTGTCTTTCAGTTCAGTCACCCAAGTGTGACGTGTGCCAAGGTTCGTGAATGTAATGAAGTATTTGCTGCCATGCCGTGATGCCTCCCGCATAGGTCCGCACACGTCAGCAGCCACAATATCCATGGCGCCATAGAGCTTCTTCGGTTCGTGCTTTGGATGTGGCGCCTTTGTAGCTTTCCCCTCAATGCATGAGCTGCATTTCATCTTGTTCTCCTCCCCGACTTTGAGCTTAACCCCTGCTGCCATGTTTTTTGTCATCATGTCATGGAGGTGTTGTATGCTGACATGTCCCATCCTTTTGTGCAGTAGGCTGATGTCAATTGCTTCCATTGCTGCTGCCATGGGGAAGAGCGGTTGTTGCAGCTCCTTTACTGGTATCTGCTCCAACATGGTACATAGCTCCTCTCACGCTCTCTTCCCTTCCTCAGATTCATGCTGGTAGGTAACTCTCTCTGCAGCCATGTCCTTCTCCAGCAGCTTCATTTCGTAGAGTCCATGCTTCCGAGCGCCTTCTGCAATCAGTTTCCAGTCAGGGCTGAAAACCAAAAGTTTGCCGTTATCGCTGTAGGTCTTGTAGCCGCTGCTGTCTAGTTGGGTCTGACTGATTAAGTTGAGTGACAGCCTTTCCACGAGAAGAACATTGTCCATCTTCACTTCTCCGTATGGGCTCTGTAATATCAGGTCCCCTTCGCCTTTCACTAAGAGCTTTCCTTCATCTCCGAGTAGGACGTATGGCACGCTTGAGTCGCGGCAGTTCAGCAACCAGTCCGCCCGGTGCATCATGTGTTGTGTGCAGCCAGAATCCATAAGCCATGTTGTTTCCTTGCAATCCTTTGCCAGCAGGCACACCTTGGAGGCCCGGGCGATATTTGCCTTGTGGGCACCTCCCAAGATGGCGTCTTCTTTAGTTTTTTCTGCCACGGTTGCTGTTGCTTGAGCAGGGGCTGCCAAGGCAGCTGTCTGCCTCTGCTGTTGCTGCTGCCCTCCCTTGAAATTCTTGCCGGCATGGTTGTAGTAGCAGTCGCAGGCCTTGTGTCCGTATTTTCCGCAATGGCTGAAGTTTCCGCTGAATCCGCCTCTTGTTTTGTATCCTTCTCCGCTTGTCCTTTCGCCGTATTGCTGTCTGGCTGCTCCTCTGCCCTTGTATTTTCTTCCCTTTGGGTTGTTGAAGCAGTCAATTGCTTTGTGACCTTTCTTGCCACAGTGGTAGCAGGTCCCAACTCCTCTTGGTGCTGCTGCTGCATTCAACATTGCAGGTTTTTCGAGCTCCACATCGGCTGCCATTGCTTCCCTCCGTTCGAGGTCAGACCGAACCAGCTCCTGCGCCTGAAGAATCTCAAGCAGCTTGGTCATATTTGCAGGTGTGTTGCAGGTAAGAATTCCAATTTCAGCCGTCCACTCCTTCGGTAAGCCGCTGATTATGTAGCCCATCATGTGTTTCTCCAATTCTGGTGCTCCCATAGCTGTCAAATCGTCATTGTAGCCCTTTGCACGGTTGACATAGTCGATAATCTTCTCCGATGGCTCCATGGCCAGCAGCAGCAGCTTCTTCCTCACTGCTGTCAAGTTCGTGTCGGTCCGTCCGAGGTAGACCGCTTCCATGTAGTCCCATGCGTGCTGTGCTGAATTCATCTCCCCTGCAAACTGGTCCAGCCCCACAGCGATGGAATCTGAAACCGAGTGGCACAATTGAAAGAACGCCTGAAGACTCTTCCGTTTGTATGCCCCATTTTCTTGTGCCGTTGCGCTTGCAGGTGGAGGAACTCCTTCCTCTGTCTCCTCATCATGATGGTAGAGCGGCCAGAGCTCCACCTCTCTCGCACGCCGGATAAACTTGAGGCGCCATGTCGAGTAGCTAACCCCACTGAAGCGCTGTGCCTCACTTAGGCCAATTGTTGGATTGGCCACTATGTGCCCTTGCGTTAGGGCATCCAAGAGGGCTTGCACTTGAGGGCCTCCTGCACTCACAGAAGAGCCTGAACTTGCCTCACCATGCTCGTTAGGCATGATGCAAGAATTTATCTAGCCCTTCTTGAGGACTTAGTGGAAACGGGGCTCTGATACCACCTGTTGGACTTGGGGCGATAGTTTATGGCTATTCGCTAGGTCCCCAAGAATGCAGTGGAAAATCCAAACTGGATCTGAGAAGTGTAAGAGAGCTGGGTGCTCTTCAGCTTCAGAGTTCAAACAGTGAATTGCACTCACAAAAAGTGGTTACAGACGAAAACAGAACAAGAACATATAAGCATGCAGAAAGATAAAGGGCGACTCGTGTAACGCGTTGCGTGCGTTTCGTCCGAATCTTGGGCGGAACCGATTTCTGTAACCGACACTGTCGGTGAAACCGACCCTGTGACATTCCGCCGAATATGACCTAAGTTTGGTTGGAAATTTCTGGCTGAACTGAACTCTCTCGACATTCTCTCTTCCCTGGTTCCTCCGTCCATCCGTTTTTTCTCCATCTTCCAACCCTAATCTTACCCGTACGTTCTACCATCCCTTAGATCTCAACCAACTTAGATCTGTCCTAGTATTCCGCCAAAAACGTCGCCTTATGACCGACTTTTCGTGTGCCAACGTCGGTGCAGCGGCGAACCACTCTTACAGTTCCTGCCATCAGACACGTCATCATGCCACCATCATGCATGTCATCATGCGTCACCAGAAAGTGAACGCCCCAAAAGTATCCTAAAATTAAGCGGTCCGAAAACTGTCCGAAACCTGCCTTGAAACAATCCCCATTCCCTCCAAAATCTCATGCTCCAAACCACCTTCCAAAAAGTGGCCGCCACCTGTCCCGAACCAATCTAAGCTCGGAGGAGGCTAGGCCACTCAGGGGACAGAATGGGCTAGGGAGAGTTGCGCAGGTCTGGTTTTGTTTGATCGGACGGCTGAAAATCCAATTTTCTCGTCAAAATTCAGATTACCGTTGATTGAAAATTTCGGGAAAAATTGCCGTTAGATCAGCTCGGTAATGATCTAACGGTCCAGAAACCACAAATCGATAGTGTTACATAGTTTCACAACCTACGAAACCCCCTCGCGTACCCGAGCCACAAACCAAACTTATCCACACTACGATTCGGAACCCAGACTTATTACATAATGCCACGTCATCTGCCCAAATCTCGCCCCTCCCAACCAAACCAAACCCAAGCCATGCATTCCTGCCTTCACCTTCATCCCCCTACTCTCACCGTCATTTCTTACTTGCACTTCGCCATTTCAGATCGTAGCTCGGCTTGTTCGTCATTACCGCCATTACCGCTCCAGCCGCCGTTTTGACGAGATCTTTCTACGTCGTAGCTTATCGATTCCGTATTTTATTTCCTTGTTTGATCAGCGCAGGCCCAATATTGCGCTCTGGACTATTTCTACCAACACGCGGCTGCATTCTTCGATGTAAGACGTGACAATAATTGGCGGTTTTTTTTTTTTTTTTTTTTTTTTTTTTTTTTTTCCGACACTGTAACTGCGTGATTCTTTACTTTCGTGTTGCGTTAGGTTGCTTTCGTGCGGAAGTCCTTTATTTTTTCACCGTGATGCACTGTCGGCAAGCAAATGCACGTGTATTTCTGCACACGCTCCAGGGTTCTCATCGCATGCCAGATCGATGCCACATTATCTAGAGGTAAGTATTTATTATCTCAGCTACCTGTGTTTTATTCTGTCTTTCCTTTTTCCACTATCAAGGCGACGGCCGAGCCCCGTTCATTCTGCCCACACTCCAGTGTCCCATTGCTCGCATGAATGATGGTCGTTTCCTGTTCAGAATTGCCTTTTATGTCTGTATTTCAACTCTTGTGCTTAACAATTTTGTTGCGCATTGTTTGCCTCGTCTTTTGCACGGCTTTTATTTGGCGTGCTCTGGCCAAAGTTGCAGGTCCAGACTTTTATTAGTCGCATTATGGGTTTTCCTTCCATGGAAATGGGTATGTTATATAAATAATCCACTGTTAATGTATTTAGAATATATGGCATGTAGAATAAAGTGTTTAATTGTAGCATGACTTGTACAAAACAATCAAGAGTTAGTAGCGAGGATGAATTGGACAGTTTATGTGATGCCTAGGGAACACTGTACAGACACGTTAGGGCCAGTTGTCGGACAGTTTCCATTCCGAGAGCAATCCCAAAAGTGTCCGGGTTCTTCCCCGCAACCATCATACCTTCATTCGGAAAACTGTCCAAAACACCATTCTAGAAAGACACCTGTTTCTGCCCGGAATGTCTGTTCTCGGACAGTTTTGGGACAGCTGATTTCGGTGATGTGCATGCCATCACGCATACCATCAGACATGCCATCATGCATGCCATCACGCATGGCACAACGCATATGAGCATGCCTCAACGGCTACATCCACACCACAGTACACCACGCCACTCTCTGGCATGAGTCAAGCCACGCTATTGCATGCCATCATGCCATGCCACGCGACGAGTCCCACCCACAACAGCAACACTCCCAAGCTTCTATGCCAAATAGCAAGGTCAAGGCGAACGCCGTTCATGAGCGTGGTTCAGGGCGACGTTCCTGCCAGTGGCTTGGCTACGGACTCACAAGGACAAGATGCCATTGCTGCTGCAATCGACAGTCTGAGAAGGATAATTGGAGCAGGGTGATGTGGCACTGTCAGTGATGGTGGCGCTGCACGCTTGTTTGAAGTCGAGTAATGCCGACTCTGCGATGGTTATAGTCGCAGACACACAGGAAGAGAGTGGAGCATTTTTTTGAATTCCCGGAAATGACTCCACCACGGGAAAAGAGAGCACAGCATAAAGAGCCGTGCTAAACCGCATTGAACCAGGTCCCCTCAGATAAGCACCGCGCAGTGCCACGTGATAAGCCGAAGTTACGGTGGTTTTTGAAGGGGAAAAAAAAAAGAAACTGAAAAATAGGTTCACCAGCGAGCCTCGGCGACCCGTCTTGCGCTTTCCACCTTCCTTACCCAAGGCGAAATGCACCTTCATTGCTTTTGTACGCGCGAACACCAGTTTGTAAACGAGATGCCATGAAAAAGAGAGAAGCAAGGATGTGAGGGAAAGACGCTGGTGACGGCTGAGACACGCCATCATGATGCGGACGAACGGCGGTAATGAGCCCGTTTGATGAACAGACAGACCCGTTGAATGGAAACAGGCGCGTTGAAAAGTGAGGCACCTGAATGACAAACAGGCGGGAAAGATGGACTCGTCGGGAGCGGAAGCAAAGTACGCTACGCAGCTAAAGCTAGTGCCCTCCTGAAACACAAGGCTAGGAAAAGCAAGAAAGCTTCTGTACCGAGCGACAAAACGGATGTCGTCAGATGTCGCCTACATCTATCGTGTCGACAGACATCCCACTCTTGACACGCTCTGAGGGAATGCCCATTCCTTTCTCTCAAACCTACCCAACTGTTCAACAAAACTCAGCAGACCGTTTTGAAACGTAAAACACCTAGCAAAACCGCACTGAAGTGGACGATTGACACACCCTCAGCACCTGGCTTCGTGGCGGCGTCAAGGAATAAGAAGAATGGTGAGGGATGACAAGGGGGGCAGGTGACACATGGCGTGACGTCACCTGATAAGAGGGTGCGAAGATGGTTTAGTCGCGGTTTGGATGGTGAAAAAAGGGTTCGCGATTAGCTTGGCGGCCGAATCGCTCGTGCCAAGTCCTTCCAGCATCCTTGCTGGTGGTCAAACAACCATTGTGGCGTGATCGGACGGCTGGAAATGGTGACAAGAGGGATGCGAACAACGCTCAAACTTCACTATGAGCGCTAGATCTAGAGAATGAGCAAACCATGGTCACGGTGAGTCTCGATGCTTCTGAAGGCAATGACCATGGGTGGAGTGGCGTTGTCTCCCGAAGGCCTAGCTGCCAGTGCCAAACCTCCTGGCCATCATGCCAAGCTGGCGGTTATGGTTCAGCGTATAACCGATATTGGCGGGTGTAATGAAGCGCAAAGAGCGTGTGTAGAAGGATTGATTAGCGAGGAAAACAACACACCTTAGCGCATCAAACACTAGGGAGCATGGACATAGCTAGCCTAGGAGCACACGGTGGTGATCCGGCAGAGCTGCGACGGGTAGTTCGTAAAATGGTGTGGAGTGCCCTGATCCAGGCATGCAACAGCAAGGCGGGAAAAAACGTATGCGATTCGTCAGGAGACCACATTTAGGACCGCGATTTGAATTTCGTGGCAGAGCTACGCGGCAACCCCGTTATAGCAGTGTACTCCTTACTGACTAAAACCAGTGATAAAGAAATACCATTTCCTTACACCCTCCCCCCTCCAAGGTATGGTCTTAGCTAAGACCGCCGACATCGCACACATCGCGAGACTGGTGGTAGAGTCGTAACACCGTGTAATTCTTGATCTGTGTCAGGGGCATCCAACTGTTTTCCAGGGACGTCTGGTCCTTCCAAGATATCAGAAACTCGATCACGTGGTCAGTAACAGTAGGTGGGCTGTAACGGAAGATATTATGTGGCTGATGGTAAATGATCCACTGTAGCGGGGGTGGAGTTTTGGGACGATGGGTAGTCGAAGTTTCTGGGTGTCGAACAGTACTAAGTCTCCAGCCTTGTACGTCAATGCTCGTTGGTGTAGATTGGCGTTACGCTTAGAAATTATATTCGCGCGCTTAATGGCTTCGGCTACTCGCTCCAGAGCATTCTTTAAGGTTTCGGCAAGCTGTTGGGCTCGTGGTACTAGATTTTCAGGATTGGGCGTTAACGGCACGGTAAGGTTCTGCTCGTAGTTCAGGTAAAATGGTGACTGTCGTGTAGTGGCTGACAGGGCGTTATTATATGCGAACTCAATCAGTGGCAGTTGCTGCTCCCAGTCGGCCTCGTCATCGCATGTGGTACAAATTAGCTGATCCATCGTTTGATTGGCTCGTTCGGTTTGTCCGTTAGTCTCGGGATGGTAGGCAGAGGAGAGTTGCAGGCACGTGCCAAACTGTTCCCAGATGTTGCGCCAGAAGTTACTAGTGAATATTCTTCGGCTGACATGCTTTTCTTGCAGGCGGCGAAGTGGGCCATTTTCGTCGACTTATCGACGACGACAAATATCACGTCACTACAGCCGTCCTTGGCAAGCAACCCTGTGACGAAATCCATCATCACTTGCTGCCACCCGCGCT